CCTCTTGACTTTTCTGTTTGCTAAATCAAGCCAAATGACTCTTCTATTAGCTGATGGATCCATTTTTAAATGTAAATAAGTCAAAATAGATTGTTCACTTAATGTTATTAAAGTTATAATGTATTCACTGATAAAAAGTGGCATTTATTTATATTTCTGTCAAACTGGTGCAGACATAAAGATCAGTCCCTTCTCCAGACACCACTACTGTACACGGCAGATAGCATGTAGGAAATGTACGTTTATAACTCATATTTCAGATTCAAACGAGTTTTTTCTTGACTGTTTATCTGTAATCTGACCTGCTTAAGGGGTTGTTGTTTATTTTGTTTTTTCCAGCAGGTGTATTTTATGTAAATGATAAAACCAGTTTACCTTGAGGGATGTTAAAGTCTCCCAGTAAAGCACAGGAAACACTTCAGATAAATCTGAAAGTCTAAACATGTCAGATGTTGGGCTGGGTTGTTTGCGGCTAGTTTTATTACCTGCTAGAGCTGCTCTCTTGAAGACTGAAGTCAGCAAACACAGAGACCGCAGAGAAAATGTCCTACTCACTCGAGATGAAACTTATACTGAAGTCTGAAAGGTTCTAGCCTTAATAATAAAGAATTTTAAACGATGCACCTGAGCTGTAACTATGGTAACGCAAGATTCCATAGCTTTACCATAGTGACAGTCTATCATAGATGACAGACAGCGCTCCATAGGGAGCCTAAGTCACGCCCATCTACTTCCGGACCACGGGCCTCCAGAAAAACAAAAAAATGAATGCAAGTCAACGGGGCTAAAGACGCTATTTTCTAATTCTACTTGTTATGTGCCATGGATTTCACATATGATGTCCGTGAAGATGCGTTTTAATTCCAAGAACGCGCTTATTTTCGAAAGGGGGGAGACGTTATTTTAAGTTTTGTGAAATAAGTCCAGGACTACAAATGCGCTTTACGAAAGTGACGTCATCGAAGCAGACACGAAGAAAAACAAGGGAAAATGGCAGAGATTCTGTGGTGACGTCATATATGCAACGTGCCGATGTCGGATTTGTAGTCATGCTAACATCGAACTTTTACAAGCTGATAAATTTCAAAGTACGTGTCTGGCGTGACTGAAACACTCATCGTTGGATTACATTTAAATTGAAGTACAACATATGTGTGATCCAGGACGTAAGGCAAAGCGGATTAGAAAATTGCGTTTTTAGCCCCGTTGACTTCCATTCATGTTTTCGTTCTTCTGGGGACCCGTGAGCCAACCGGGAAGAGAGGAGACTTATGGACCATTCCCATCTGTATCGGGTCGGCCCGGGCCGGGTAGAGTCGGTTGTTTACATATCTGGGTGGCCTGGTATTTTTCCGGGCCAACCAAGGCTCATTCTCTGCCCTCTTCTCAAGGGGGTCTGCTTCAGGCCGACCAGGGCCAACACACCCACTGCTGACAGCAAATTCACACCTTCCATTAGAGCAAGCCTCTGATTGGTGGGTAGAATCAGCCCACATGAGCTTAAGGCAAGGATGTGTGGAATCAACCGGGCCAGGCTGGAGCTGACTGGGGCTACCCGGCCCGGGCCGACCCGGTACAGATGGAAATGGCCCAATAGGCTCCTTATTGTAGTGAAGTAGGAAGTACTTTGGAAGGCTACTAAAGGAAGGCTTTAAAAATTAGTGAAGTAAAATTAAAAAGTAGAGCTGAAGAAAATAAGTAAAGTACAAATAAAGAAAGCTTTACATACTATAGTAAATAACTTCATTACTTTTTAAAAGATTTATTTTTTGTTTCCATTTTAAATTCTGTCATCCTGTCCCTCTTAACGTGATTTAACATAAAAGGAGCCATCATCAGGTGTACCTCTTATGTATAATAATGATCGAATCACAGACCAGCTGTTTGATGATGTAGAAATATATTAATAAAAAGTTATCGGAACTGAAAGAAGATGATACAAGTCATGTCCCTGGGCAGAGGTGAGTCAAGCCATCTCCTCTCACCAGAATCTGAGCTTATTCTCCGCAGGTGAGGAGCAGAGGGAACAACAGCTGCAGGCGATTCCCTAATCAGGAGCACGGGTTTAAAAGGAGGACGGAGACACTTCACTTTGCCGGATGATTGTACCAGTTCAGGTAGCGCCAGCCACTCGACTCTGAAACTTTGATCTTTGCTAACTCGTGTTTGTCTCGCCTTCGACTTGTGGATTATTGACCTTGGATAGTATTTTTGGAATTGGATTATCCCTTACGCCTGTTTTGTCTCGCTCAGGATCACCTCGTCATCTTCTCACCCTTGCTGTCTTCGTTTCTGGAATTAATCAATACGTCCCGTCCTCCTCCGCCGTTCCTGTTCGGATTTCCCTCTGCTGCCTCACTCCTACTGGATCTCTCACCCTCTGCCCAGCGCCCTCCCCGGCTTCCCTTCCTCTCTTTGTCAACCTGAACACCTCAGACTCGAGTCGTCTTGGCTCCTCAGCACAGGACTTCCCTGTGCGGTTTTCAGTTACCGTTTACAATAAAGACATTTTTACTTTACTGCTTTAAACTTGTGTGGTGATTCTGCATGTCTTGGGTTAGGCAATTACCTCGAGCCATGACATCTTCAGACAAATAACAAACCGTTTGACATCAAAGAAACTTCTCTTTGGTCTTGATGCTCATATAGCAGTTAAGGTTATGAATATAACAGATTTCAGTTTTCCTGGTAGTGTTTAATCAAAGAGCAATGTGACAAAAACAAGTTACTTAGAAGTTAAATACGTACATAAAAGCCAAATGACTCTTCTATTAGCTGATGGATTCGTTTTTAAATGTAAACAAGTCAAAATAGTTTGTTCACTTGATGTTTTTAAAGTTATAACTCATTCACTTATGAAAAAGTGGCATTTATTTATAGTTCTGTCAAACTGGTGCAGAAATATAAAGATCAGTCCCTTCTCCAGACACTGCCACTGAACACGGCAGATAGCATGTAGGTCTAGTTATAGAAATGTACGTTTATAACTCATATTTCAGATTCAAATGAGTTTTATCTTGACTGTTTATCTGTAATCTGACCTGCTTAAGGGGTTTTGTTTTTTCCAGCAGGTGTATTTTATATAAATGATAAAACCAGTTTACCTTGAGGGATGTTAAAGTCTCCCAGTAAAGCACAGGAAACACTTCAGATAAACCTGAAAGTCTAAACATGTCAGATGTTGTGCTGGGTTGTTTGTGGATAGTTTTATCACCTGCTAGAGCTGCTCTCTGGAAGACTAAAGTCAGCAAACACACCGATTGTAAACCAGCTTGTTGCCATGGTTACGCATCATAACAAATGCTCAAAAAGTGAAAAAAGCTAAAAAAAAATAGCAGCAAAAATCCTCCAAGCTTCACAGCACCAGAGACAGAAAAGTAAAATGTCCAAAAAATAGTTTTTCTTGAGAAACTAGAAGGAAAAAAAATGCCCAAGATAAGGCTAAACTTACATATAGTCAACAGATCTACTCCAACCACCCAGAGCAGCGCAGTTCCGGAAAAAAATCCTTGTTATTGTGTAAGAAAAAAAGTGTAGAAATTAAAACGGATGTGTGTTAATAGGGAAATAGCTGGTGAGCCATGTTTGCAACTTGAGTGGTTCTGGTTCTGTCTGGGCCGCAGCCGCTCGCAGCGCTACTTCAACAGTTATCCTCCTAGTTTTTGTCTGGCTTACAGGCTAGCAGATTCTCACACGAGGGGAAAATTGGCTCAGGTTGTATACTTATTTTTTGCACAGGCATTTGTTTAGTGTGAAGTAAAGTTGAAGTGCTGAAGTTTTGAAAACTAATTTTGAATGAAACTTGAAGAATAACTGGCAATTGCGTGCTCATTTGAAGAGGTCTTTCATATTTTATAACATGCTAATTTATATAATGGTTTACAAACACAAAAGGGTCATTTATTAGAGTACTCGATTAATTGATAAAAGATTCAATAGAGTACTCGATTACGAAAATATTCGATAGCTGCAGCCCTAGTTCATGCAAACTTGAGTAATAAAAACATCAGATATGGATCTGATTTAGGGTGACAGAAAGCAGAGTGAATCTGATTTGTCCTGTTCTGACAAACAAATGTCAGATCTGTATACTGGTAAGAAATTTATTTTCAAACATACTCACTTAGATAATCATTCAGTCAGAGTTACATCATTAATCCATTCATTTTTTCTCTCTCAATGTCTTAAAATTTGTTTGATCTCCAAAGTGTTTTTTCTTGATCCTACTGGCACAAATCTAATCCCATAGCAATGGTCCATGTATTAGCATCTTCTTGAACACTATTAGATAGCTCGGTTCTGGGCTGCCCACTGGATTCAGTATAGGAGATGTGTGATAGGAGGATGGGGAAGATGACCTCCATTTAAAAAAAAACCTCCCACTGTGGAGACCATGGACAGCTCCTGCAGAGGCAGATGGAGACATCCCAGACGTAAAATGTCACTTTTACTTGTCAAAATTTAAATGAAAGCTATACTCACTTACATTCTTAATACAAACATTTTTCTCAAGTATTTTAGGGATGTCTGGTATTGTTGTAGATGTCTAAAATGAGGGATTAAATGATAGATATCGGAAATAATAATTTTCTTAATATGAGAGGAGTTCTGTTTAAGACATCTGACAATTTTAATCCAGCTAATTAGAGTAAAAACCCAACTTGCATACATGAATTTGGCTTTTTTTTCAGTTCTTGAGAGCTAAAGAAAAATTTCCACCACGGTGGACAGTTAAGTGTCATTCTATTCTATTCTATTCTATTCTATTCTATTCTATTCTATTCTATTTGTCCTGTAACGATTGTTGGAGCTATCTGAATTTTTTTCCAGGTCGCAGGTATTTATTGCTCTCTAATATGTTTATTTTGACCTAATGGAATTGAATGACAAAGCACCTTTAGCCTATCTTAAATGTGAAAAGAGCTTGCCACACCTTCCTCTGCACCGCTGCTTGGCTCCTGATTGGTGTCAGTAGATCAATTACGCTCAACGTGCGTCGATGACGCCGCACGCTTTTCCCACCATGCAACGTTCGAGTAAAGATGGCCGAAGGAGGAGCGGCTGATCTGGATACTCAGAGAGGAGAGATCACGACACTATTGAAAACACAGCTTAGGAAAGGGGACACCTGGTAAGGCATGAACCGAGATCTCTCTTGAGGGACTGCGTGGCCGCCGCCTGGCTCTGCTGCGAGTGACAAAGCCACAAATGTTAGAAAAGCCGAGGTGACGGGCCGTGTTGACAGTGAGGCGTTTGGGTTGCTAACGAGAGCGTTCCAGCTAACCGCTGGCTCTGGTCAGTTTAAATGAAGAACTGACTCTTAACGTTTAAATTCTGAACTCTACGCGCAATTGTAATCCGTTCTAAACGAATAATGTTGTTTTTATCTGATTTCATGACCTTAACAATACTAAAGAGCCTGTTGGGTAAGTAGCAGGCTAATTTAGCTACTTGGTTAGCATGTGTCGCTCCAAGTGATTTTCCAGTCAGGGGGTTCGTCTGTCGACTTTAGTTGGGCGGAGTCGGTAAAAAAAAAAACACCTGTCAAAATCTCAGAGCCAGCTGGCTGGGATTGCAGCAATCTGAACTCCACCTACCGTCAATAAATCAGCTGTTGGGTGTAGTGTTTGCCTCTCAGAGTCTTTTAAAACACTGTTGTTATTGAGTAAACCGTGGTGGTCTCCTCTAGGTATTTAGTGGACAGTCGCTGGTTCAAACAGTGGAAGAAATATGTGGGATTTGACAGCTGGGATAAATACCAGATGGGGGACCAGAATGTTTACCCCGGACCGGTGGATAACTCTGGCCTACTCAAAGGTAAGACCGGTGAAAACTCAAACTACTAAACTAGGTCCTACATTAATATTTCTGTTTACCTGTTGTTTGTTCCTCTTTCTTCAGCTGTGGTTGATTACCATCGTGCATGTTTTAATATTTAGTTGTTTCAGAGAATATCTGTCAAAGTCAGTTTAGGTAGGTTTTTCTAGCAAATAAATACAGCAAAACAGAAGATTGTAAAGTTCAGTATTAATAATCTAATATTTTAATAATTGTGTCTCTGCTGAGTGTCTTCATTCTGAAATTACCGACAATTTCAGCAAAATGGAGACAAAGCTAGAATTGTCTACTGACTTCATAGAAGCTCCCCAGCCTACCTTTTGTTTTTTTGTGTGAGAAAGCACACAGTCAGTGATGCGTTCTTTGTTCTGATTGTGTTTCTCGTCCTCTCCTTTCATCCCTTGTTCCCTCTCTTTCTAGATGGGGATGTGCTGGCCATCAAGGACCACCTCATCGATGAGCTCGACTACATCCTGGTCCCTGCCGAAGGCTGGAATAAACTTGTCAGCTGGTATGGACTGTCAGAAGGTCAGGAACCAATCGCACGCAAGGTAAAGGTTCAGAACCCTGGAAGGGCATTTATTGAGTGTTAGTGATGGAGAGATAAGGCAGCTTTTCTTTAATGGACTGTAAGAGTCTTACTAATGGCTGCTGCTTTGTGGTGGAGTCCATTGAAATGTTTTCTGTCTACAGAATCAGTTTGTTTACAGGATGATTCTTACATTTCAGCGTAAAAACAAAATATTTCAACCAGGATTAACAAAGATTATACAACATTTAGATGAAAGATCAGTATAAAATATAATTAGTTTTTTGGAATACATTAGGATTGCAACTTAAGTATTAATTTCTCCACTTCAGATTTTGCTAATCATGCCATCATGGCTGCTGGAGGAGGTCGTCCCCCCCCCCCCCCCCCCGGCACCACTGTATTCCTCTCTTCGTTTCCGTTGACCCTCCCTCTTTTCCCATGTATGTCATGGCACGTATCGGGTGGCTACAGGGTTTCTATTTTCAGGCAACGTTCTGGGTGACTGTAAAGCTACATGGAGCGGTCTACAAGACACAACATGCAGGAGGTTTATAAATAATCTGTTTTTCTCTCTTTTTGAACTTATTTTGCCATCCTGTGCTGTGGGAGAGTGCATAAGTTTGAGTGGGATTCAGGAGGACTGCTGTCAGCGGGTTCGTCTTCCACAGTCCTCAGCTGGTGTTGCTGTTAACACCGGTGGAGCGTTCTTGAGCCCTTGTTTTTTGGAGTGGAGGAATTCCTGCTGAGGTCACTCTGAGAGTAGCAGCGCGAAGGATTGAGAGAGGAGTGTGACCAGTATGGGAGGAGGAATGGGGTGGGTGGGGTAAATAGTTTTTAACTGAGCTCTAATTTGAGGAATTCTGTTAGAGTTTGGCCCTTGGGTTGTACTTACGTCCTCTCGATTTAAAATGGCACTGACTTTTTCTGAGCAGCTCTGTCGGCCCAACAGAACATCCAGGCTTGGTTCGGGGCAGGGCTGGAGGTGATGCATGACCGGTGCAGTTCTCAGTGTCGTTTGTGAAAGTAGTACTGTGTGTGTGTGTATATATATATACATGCGTGTGTGTTGGAGAGGCTCAGTGGTGAAATAAATAGGTTCAGACCCCCTCAGCTGTTTCCACAAGGTGCTGCTATAATTAGATCTTCACTCTAACTCCGATTTTGTCAGAGGACTTGATAAGTAGCAGCCAGGGCAGCAGATTGGACTTCTGTTTGTTGCACAAATCTAGATAAAAAAAGACTATTTAAATGTGTTGTTTTATTTTTCTGCATTTACTTTATTTAGTTCAGTATAACAAGCAGGAACCTGCAGCCTATAATGGTTTGGATTGATCATTATGACACTAGATTTAATCTTTTGGTGATAATTGTTGTTTGATAATCATTTGTTTTGGCACAAATGCTCTGCTCCACTGTAACACCAGAATGCTGGAAATAACATGTGACTGAACTTTTACTCATGTAGCTGTTTTTCTTTCTCTGCAGGTGGTGGAGCAGGGTATGTTTGTGAAGCACTGTAAGGTAGAGGTGTACCTGACAGAGCTGAAGCTTTGTGAGGACAGCAAAATGGACAATGTAATCACCAGACGCTTCAGTAAAGCTGACACAATAGGTAGGAGGATGCTTATTTGGTTGGACTTCATCTTCAGTAAACCATCTAAATATGTGGATGATGAGTTTTTCTATAAACACGACCGTCTCTAGAAGATATGTGTTGTACACTTTAGTGTAATCTCTTACACCTGTTATTTAACATACATTTACAGTGAAATGATGCTGTTCTGCTATTCTTGAGTGGCTTTGTGAAGCTAACAATCTGATCTCTGAATCATACAACAGACTTGCTGCTCGTACAGACAGCTAACTAGACATAAATGTTGTAAAACTGGAATTGTTCAAGGATAAAATTTAGTTATTTTATAGACTGGATTAAAACTTTTACTGGAGTTAATAAGATGAGATGGCTCATGAATATAATAGCATTCTAGGATACCATGGTCCACTTTCCTACTGTTGGCGTTAGCATTGTAGAGGGAGTTTGCCATGAAAATCGCGCGTGTGTGTGTGTGTGTGTGTGTGTGTGTGTACGTGCACACAGAGATGGCAAAAGTACCGATGTTCTTTACTTAAGTAGAAGTACAGATACCTGTGTAAAAAAACTACTCTGGTAAAAGTGAAAGTACTGAGCTAATTTATTTACTTAAGTAAAAGTAAAAAATACAGGCTCTAAAAAGTACTTGAGTACGAAAAGTAAAAAGTAAAAAAATTAAACCTTAAATTTAAAAAAAAGCATCTGGTTTGGACTGAGAAGTTTATTTCAACAACACAACAATAATTCCTGGAGATATGATGCTATTAATGTTATTGCTGTCTCCACATATGGGAGCATTTAACTGAAATAGTTTTTTCTGCAACTCGACTTAAAACATTGTGATCATGGAATCAAGGTCACTTCAAATCTTCAAGTATTATTTCCTTCTGACAGCAATTGACTGTTTGAGACTAAATAAACATTTTATTGAGCTTCATCAGAAGCTGGTTTTCAAAGTTCTTTGCATCAACACGTGCCCTTTTGGGTCTGAAAATGAGTCCTGCAGTGCTGAAAAGCCTCTCACAAGCAGCCGAGGCAGGCAGAGGTGTGTTCAGCTTCAGTGATAAATTGCATACTGCTGGAAAAGATTTCAAGATATCCATAGAATCTGATGGACAGGCCAGGTAGGACTCCAGCTGCTTGGCATTTTCCTGATTGTTGCCCTGCCTGATGGTGAAAAAGAAGTCCTCCTCCTCTGAAGAAGAAAAGGTCGTGCCACCTGGCTGCACCACGGGTTGCTCCTTCAGATGACTTCTGATGAAGCCAAGACCTATGAATGACAAAATCAAAGATTATAATTTATCACCTATATTCGGGTCAATACGGCACATTCAGAATTTCATAATCTAAATGTGAACTACGGTAATCTCATGAAGTCAGAGTGACCTGATCATTTTTTACTTTTGTTGTATTTCGTAATATATCCCACCATAATTCATGAGTTAAAGCATCCTGTAATAGGGCTGCTCAATTAATCAAATTTTAATCCCAATTATGATCTGAGTTTTGAACGATTAATAAAATTAGAGCCATTATCAGAAGTTGTGCGAACAATCTTATCATGGATGTTCTGTACGTATGTCATTTAGTGCACCAGCAAGTGCAGAACATGTGTGCGGCCCTTTGAGCTGTTTTTCATACTAGAGCAGCAGAGCATCTTTCCATGGTTTCAGGCTCTATCCCGTGTGCTGAGACACCAATGAAACTTCATCTGTGTGCAGTCCTGCGGTCTGTGGTGGTAGCAATGTACTCAACCACATTCATTGCAGCCTTTAGATGTTTCTTCATTTCCAGTGTTACTTTATCAACTTTGTCCATCATCCATGTTGTTAGTTAGTGTTGTTCTGGGTCTCAAACCGCGCTCACACCGGGCTCTTTCTCGCCGCACCGTTGATTTTCCCTCTGTTGTGTTCCGACAGTTGCGTAATGACATCATCGACATGCGTGTAATACGTGCAGTACGTGAGGTAAATGTCGAGGTAACGAGACCATTTTGAAAATGTAAGGTGTAGAAAGTACAGATATTTGGGCTCAAATGTAGGGAGTAAAAGTAAAGTTGTCAGAAAAAAAAATCAAGTAAAGTACAGATACCTAAAAAAACTACTTATGTTCAGTAACGAAGTATTTGTACTTTGTTACTTCCCACCTGTGTGTGTGTGTGTTTTAACCACATTGATTAATCTGAGCCGAGATCAGTGGACTCAGTGGTCTCCTTTAAAAAGCAGCAGAAAGTCATCTGTTCAAGCTGGCTTAGGTGTGACCTTCATCACCACCTTCTTCTTATTCTGCCTTTCCCCTGGATCCACCGACTTCCCTCTTTCCTATTAATTTTCTCTCTCCCTTTCCTTACATTTTTATCACAATTTTTTTCTTGTTTTAAACACATTTTAAATTATTTGAAATCTTTTTATACTGTGTTTCACATTATTTGTTTTTGTGAAGCGCCTCGTGATTTTCATCTTGAGAGGCGCTATATAAAAGATCGTTTTCTTTCTTTAACAGCAGGGTTTCACTCCTTCCGCTGATTCTCATAATTAAGGCCTGACTGTGCTTCACCAGTCCTAAAGTTTTAATCTTGCTGCTTGGAGTTTTGCTTTAGCAGAATGTTTGTGGATGATATTCTGGAACGTGTGAACTAAATCTGCTTTTCACCTTTCTGGTAAACTGAAATGGGTGTCTTTAGTTCTGTTCTGTGTGTCTAATTGTTAATTGCTTCTGGTGACATTCACTTGATCTGTGTGTTGTAACTGAGTAGTTTGAGGGTTTGTGGTAAAACTACAAGGCCCAGGATGCACCAGGACGGCAGTCCTGTCAAAGTGAATTAGTTATAATTTAAAATAACTGAATTTGTTCTGAAAGAGAATCACCATGATGCTGATCTGTCGGTACAGGACAGTTCATCATAAATGACACTTTGTGTTTGTAATGTTGCTGCAGACACGATAGAGAAGGAGATGAGGAAGCTGTTCGGTATCCCAGATGAGAAGGAGACGAGGCTGTGGAACAGATACATGAGCAACACCTTTGAGCCTCTAAACAAACCGGACAGCACCATCCAGGATGCCGGCCTCTACCAGGGACAGGTAGGAACCTCTCTGGTTTGGATGGCTTCAGAACGGCCTGGCTTGGTAGTTCTTCTGCTGAGTTGAAACACCCCAGTTTGAATGGGTTTCAGCAAGGGCTGGACGATATGGCCTAAAATCAATATCACGATATATTGAGGATTTCACCTCGATAATGAAACATAACTACAGGTATGCGCAGAAACTAAAGTTGTCCACTAGATGGGGCTGTCACATGTATTACGTTAAGTCACATTTTGTGACTCAAGGTGCTACAGCTTCTTAAAGGGACATGAAAGTTGCCAACCTACACACATCTTTTCATTTTTTAAATCAAATTTATTGACATGGGAATAATTGTCTCGATAAGAGTCAGTAATTTCGATAACGATACATTTTCGATTTATTGCCCAGCCCCAGTTTCAGCTTTTCCTGGAGTACACAGGTGAGTGTTACTGCAGGAGGTTCTTCATCTCTCTACTTTGAGTTTAAAAGGCATCAGAATCAACAGGAGCCTGTCCTTGTAATGTAAAGCTGACTCAGAGGGATAGCTCGGATCTTTTCAAGTGTTTATGAAAAAGCCATAATCTGTTAATAAATGACTAAAGTTCGGCTATTTTAATCAATGGAAATATCAGCAATTAAAAAAAATATTTTATGAGCAACATTTTTTCTTCGCCTCTGAATTAGTCACACAGATGGGACATTTCAAACTTCCACATCAAATCCGGTTCTTTTTGAATTTAGCGTAAACAGAATGAGAACATGGATCCATCATGCCTTGTTACCACTGTGCAGGCTGGTGATGTAATGGTGTGGGGGATGTTTTCTTGGCACACTTTAGGCCCCTTAGTGCCAACTGGGCATGGTTTAAATGCCACGGGCTACCTGAGCATTGTTTCTGACCCTTCATGACCACCATGCACCCATCCTCTGATGGCTACTTCCAGCAGGATAATGTGCCATAAAACTCCAATCATTTCAAATTGGTTTCTTGAACATGACGATGAGTTCACTGTACTACAACGGCCCCCGCAGTCACCAGATCTCAACCCGATAGAGCATCTTTGGGATGTGGTGGCGGCACAGCTAATTTTTGATTGATGCCTAAAATAGCCAATGAAATTCAGAAAACATTCATATCTCATATGAGGACCCTTCATGATCTTCTTCAGCAATCTGAGTAAGAATGGTTGTGACTGGTGGATTGCTCCATGCGGTGTGTCAGGCCCATAATCTAAACGCAGAAACGCATCACAGCACCTTCAAATAAACCCTTCTACAAAAATCACCCTAAAGCTTTGAACAAAGGTCACCAATTTCCCCTTAATGCATCAGGGAACTTTAGTGAGTTTTTTTTAGTTATTTTATTATTTAAAGTGCTTTAACATTTGGACTCTAAAGCAGCAGCAGCAGATGGAGCCTCTTTCTTTTTCTGGTCTCCTACAGGTTCTTGTAATAGAGCAGAAGAGTGAAGACGGCACGTGGCCCCGAGGCACCATGGCAACCAAGTGAGTGAAGGGCACGTGGATTTGCTTCTTCGTGTTGTTGACTTCGAGGAGTTTCTCCACAGGAACCGATTGCACTTGGCACACTATTAAAACCACATGTAGAATATGTAGTAATGAGTTACTGCATGTTTCAGAAGCATTGAACTCGACCTTCACTGCACCGTCAACCAGAGTCCCCTCTCTTTGCCTCTTTTTGCTTGAACTTTTGTTGCAACACATCACTCTGTTTTGGTTTGAATTCATCTAAGTTTAATTTGATTGACTGTCTCACACACCCTTTATTTTTATTTGTTTGGGACGGCTCCTTGTTTTCTGCTCTAACTCATGATCTACCCTTTTATCTTTTGAAGGTCATCTGGTGCTTCCAATCTCTCTGCTTTGCCAAAGATCTCGCCTTCATCTCTCACAAACAATCATAACAGCAGCTTCAACAGCAGGAAGTAAGACTTGGCAGATGTGTGGTGGTGGTGGGTGGGGTTGGATCTGAAGAGCCAAAGATAAAACCGGACAGTTGGCTTGAATGTGTTCAAAAACCCTGACTACTTTACAATGGCTCTACAATTTTACCACCAGTGGTGTTTAAATCCATCAAACTTTGTCCTGTTCAGGTGACTTTCTGGCTGTGATCCTGACGTGCTTTTTTTTAGCTGACTGAGCTGATAGCAGAACTGGGGGACAGGCTTAGTTTGGAATAATCTTATATCATTATTTTCTTAAAATGCTCCGGCAGCTCTCCTGAGCTCTTGTTTAAAGGTCACACCTGAGCTGAAACCTGATGGGCTGTTAGTGCAGGTCAGGAAGAGCAGCATGAATCATTTTAGGATTAATTGACCCATGAGGCCTTGCTTTTATGTTTGCATTTGAACAATTTAAACTACAGCCTATTGGAAATGCAGCTTTTTTTTGTGATGAGTGGGTAGTCTGAATCCACGCTCTGGGATAAAACTGCAAGTGCAGACTTTCATTGCTGTCTGAGTGTGAATGTTTATGCATGTGTGTGGTTAAAGTTTTGCATTGTGCAGCAACAAACCTACAATAACAGCCATTAAACAACAAGCTTCCTAAGCATTTTAACTTAAACTTTTTGAACCCAGTTTCTGGGATCTAGAAAGGAGGCGAGTTTTTCCTCAAAGCCTGAGCTACCTTAGAGCAACACTAGAGAGTTTTAACACTTTGAGCTATTGCTCTCAAACTGGTTTCTCTGGTTCTTGAGGCAGAATCTTGAGCTACTCCCCATGGGACAGCATGCCGTTACCCTCTGCTGAGCAGTAACTGCACTAAACTGTTTTGTGATTCAGTAGAAACACTAGTGGGAGCTCTCAACCTGCTTCATGACAGTAGCCATTTACCTTGCTGGTTGCTAATATGAGGGCTAGCAGTTAGCGTTTTCAGCTCGCTGACCGTCAGTAAAGTTAAAGTCCCATTAGTTGTCACACACACAGGTGTGTGTGCGAAATTTATTCTCCGCATTTGACCCATCCCCTGGGGGAGCGGTGAGCTGCAGACACAGCCGCGCTCGGGAACCATTTGGTGGTTTAACCACCCAATCCAACCCCTTAATGCTGAGTGTCAAGCAGGGAGGCATTGGGTCCATTTTTTCAAAGTCTTTGGTACGACCCGACCAGGAGTCGAACCCCTGATCTCCCAGTCTCAGGGTGGACACTCTACCACTAGGTCACTGAGAAAGGTCAAGTATAAAGCTCAAGAAGAAGAAAAAGAAGAATTTAGCTGTTTGTTTGCATCATGGATTGATGGTGACTTGGCTTAGTTGCTACTGGACTTGTAAGTAATGATATTTTTTGTCCAACAATGTGGATTGTTTTACTTTGTGGCTTATTTACTAAAAGATGGCTCATGTTAGCGTTGGCTACAGCAGGCTTGTTAACAGCAGTTGTAATTCTGTGTTTGTCCAGTAGGGGAAGAAGCAGTAACCTAATTTAGTGTTGTTATCATTACCATAAAGGTGGGCTCAGATTCACTTACCTTACCACGCTTTTGGAACTGAAAAACCCTTTGATACAGCTTCCTGTAACATCATACTGTTTAACATATTTTAGTTTTGTTAGTAGTGCAACTACAAGCCTCGGTCAGGCTTGACACAGACTTGGGTAGATTTTAAACAAACACGGTTTAAAAGTATACCAGAATATTGTCTTAAAGGGAGTTTAAATCCCCTGACCCCCCGGCTCACGGGTCCCCAGAATGGGGTTATAAAGGTTATTTTCTGCTCTACTGTGCTTTATTCCCAGAAACACACATGTTTTACTTCAATTTAAATGCTAAATAAATGTGTGTTTCGACTATGTTTGTCATGTAATTAGAGATTTATTAGCTTGCAAAAATTCGTAATTAAAATGACTACAAGTCAGATGTGTGCACATCGCATGAGTCTCCGCGCCTCGTTTCCGCCAGCGTAGCTGCTGCTTTCCACATGACAAGATTTATAGTGTTGTTTTTCGTCCCACGTTTAATGCTGCTTCATTCTTCCTGGAAGAAGGTTGCAAAGCTCGCAAAACTCACAGCAAAGTTTCTTCTCCTCCTTGTCTCATTTAATGACGTTAAATTGGTGAGTCGAGCAGTTGTAGCCTCCTACGTATTTTTCACACAAAACCTAAAATGACTTTTGCCACCTTTCAAAAACAAGTGCTGTCTTGGCATCTAAATGGCCTTTAAAATTCACATCAAATGTTAAATCCATGGGACATATCAAACAGGGTCAGAAAATGGCTTTTATCAGCTCTTTGACCCCCATGTAGATGGGCGTGACTTAGGCTCATCTGAACGCACACGTCCGAGGATTTTACTCCCTTCTGATTTTTCTCTGATCCTTTTTTAATTTTTTTGGACTTTGTTGACTTGAGAGGTGACGTTTAATCAGCAGGTGGAGTGCTGTTGCCCTCCTGTGTGATTTTACTGTGTTTAGGGCCACATGTTTGTTTCATGTTTGTTTCACTCTACATATGGCTGGAACGCAGAAATAAAAGCCGTTGAATAAAAAAATCAGTATTGACACGAAGGGAAAGCGTAGGAGTTGGCTCAGCCCTTTTCTGCTCCTCTGTACTTAGATTACGATTTATAGCCATGTTGTAACGACTCTGCATTGTGTATTGATGTAGCGGTGGTTTTTTTTTCTGCATGGCGGCTTGAGAGAAAAGAGGGTGACTTGGAGAAATTGGATCTTCACTCTCAGCAGCTCTTCTATCCCTGATTCACCCCACAGTCAGTGCTGTCGTTGCCTCTTAATTATGCATGGTGGCCGTGCTTTTCATACGAGGCATTCCCATGTTTGTTATCTTTCTGATGTGGAGGTCTGTGACAGCGGGCGGTGTCCTGTTAACACCTTTGCCTCACAGCCACACACACCTTCTGCAGTCTGCATGACCTTCAAGAGTCCATCCCATCTGTCTTTCTCATCGCCTGCCTCTGCTGCTCACGTGCACCGATGGGGATATTCATTTATTCATTTACAGCATCTCTCATCTAGAGCTGGGTGCAGTTTTACTGCCAAGCTGGAGAAATAAGAGAGTTGGTGTTTTGAGGGGAGAACACACACACGAAGAAGAAAAGGTGACAGATGTTTTGTGATGTGTTTCAGAGGAAGGGTAGAGAGAAGAGACAGACCTGTGAATACTGCAGCCTCAGCTTAATGCAATGAATCAGCTGCTCCCTCCATCCCCACCTCATTTCTCTTCTGTCAGTGCCCCCCCCCCCCCCCCCCCCCCCACACACACACACACCTTCCTATTCTCCTCCCCCTCTCCCTGTGAGCACCTCTAGCTTCTGTAGCAGTCGCGAGCATCCTCACCCTTGCTATAAATATCTGCAGGGACCCGTAGAGCAGCAGGGAACAGGAAGAGAGGAAGGAGAGGACAGAGGGAAGAAAGATGCAGAGGACAAAACTAGAGAGGGGGTCGGGAGACGAGTGTAATTATGATTATTTTTGGGCTTGGAAAGCAAATCCTTCATCTGGACTGAATTGAAACTGGTGCTGGAGTGGGTCCGAGTGAACATGAGGGCTGAACCGTAAAGACTGAAGCTGCACTTTTTCCTCCTCACGCTCTGAAAACGTGGCTTGTCCTTCTTTCGGAGTGGAGCAGAGCGGAACCGCGTCGAGGCTGCTGGTCGCTCGGCTCTGTGCGGACATGTGGGCCGGTGTGAGCTGGGGTGGGGCTGAGATGTCATGCTCCTGTGTTGCTGGTGGTGCCTGAGGTCTGAGGCGGTGGAGCTGGAGCTGGACAACAGGAGGGTGGACCACCGTGTGCTGAGCTGTGGGGCCCCTGTGTCCACCTCCATCACAGCTGCTTCCTTTGACCGGTGGGAGCCGGAGACGACCAATGCTGCGCTGTCAGCCTCCCAGAGGTCCGCTGGTTGCTGCAGCGACTGTTGACCTTTACTATAAAGTGTTTTTAGGGCTGGTGGCTCCTTAGAATTGACCTGCTAGGACTGGAGCTATTCATTTGTTAAAACCTTTGACCTCATAAAATATAATTGGACTTGATAACAAAGCCTGTATCAGTTTCCTGTGTGTGTGCTCAGCCCTCTGATGTATCTGTCGTTTTTCAGTGTGAAGAACTCCAGCTATAGTTTACCGACCTACTGCAACAGCTACGACTACCCAGACCAGAGCAGACCGAGTGAGCGCTTGGGTCTCTGTGGGCTGTCCAACCTGGGCAACACCTGCTTCATGAACTCTGCCGTGCAGGTACCAAACCTGTCGTCAACATGTGGCTCACCGTGTGAGGGGCACTGATGTGTCCAGCTGCGTTTTGGGCTGATCCAACTCTTTCCCATCTTTGCTCCTCAGTGTTTAAGCAATATCCCTCCGCTGACGGACTACTTCCTCAAAGACAAGTACAAGGATGAGCTGAACGAGGACAACCCCCTGGGCATGAAGGGGGAGATCGCCAGAGCCTACGCTGAGCTCATCAAGCAGCTGTGGTCAGGGAAATTCAGCTACGTCACCCCACGACCCTTCAAGGTGATAGTGTTGCTCAGTCGAGACAAAACTGAAGGAAACCAGCAGCTCTAAATCTGTATGAGATTATAAATGGAGGAAAGTTTACATGCTACTATGGAAGATGCTTCTAAATTGTTGGCTTGTTAGGGGCTAAACAAAACTGGAGAGGACTTTTGTATTTTCTCTCAATAATTGAACAATGTGTGCATGTCTACTCGTAGACCCAAGTGGGCCGCTTCGCCCCCCAGTTCTCAGGTTACCAACAGCAGGACTCTCACGAGCTTCTGGCCTTCCTCCTGGACGGCCTTCACGAAGACTTGAACCGAATCAGGAAGAAGCCCTATATCCAGCTCAAGGATGCTAATGGCCGACCTGATAAGGTGAGACAAGCAGCTTGATCTTATAACCCCCCGCCCCTCCGACCTTTTATGATTTCTGTGTTGTTCGTTGTCTCAGGTGGTGGCAGAGGAGGCGTGGGAGAACCACATCAAGAGGAACGACTCCATCATCGTGGACATCTTCCATGGCCTTTTTAAGTCTACTCTAGTGTGTCCCGTGTGCTCCAAGGTCTCTGTGACCTTTGATCCATTCTGCTACCTAACGTTACCACTACCCATGAAGAAAGAGCGAACACTGGAGGTTTACCTGGTCAGATTGGATCCTCTGGCCAAACCTACTCAGGTAGAACTACATCTGGCAGCGTTTTAGTGATTTGTCGTCGTACGAGACTCCAATCCCACGCTTGTTTTTCAGTACAAGCTGACCGTGCCAAAGGTGGGCTACATTTCTGACCTGTGTACCTCCCTCTCCAGCTTGTCTGAGGTGCCTGCTGAGAAGGTAAAATCATTAACCCTGCTTCAGCACACTTGATTTCAATTAGTAGGTGATTAACAGGCTTCTGCAGAGCCTGATGAGCTGCTGCAGAGGTGATTCAACCGCTGGATCAAGTGTGTTGGAGCAGAGAAACCACTAAAACGTTCTGGATATCGGCCCTCCTGGTCCGGAGTTGAATAGCCTTGCGCTATTAGCGCTGTAATGTGATGATGCATAAAAAGTGAAGCCAGTCTGATTTAATTGTTCCTTCATTCAAACACAAGCAGTTAGCTCCATAGGTGAAAGGTGGACAGAAAACATAACAGACTAACTCTATTAGAGCTTCAGTTAACCTGAAGCTAAGTGAAGGAAGTCTTTCATTTAGCCCTGGCAAACGGGTGGATTAGCATCTAAATGACTTAAAATGAACCGTTTCTTCCTCTTTTCACGCGTCTTCATTTTTTAGACCACTAATGTTATTCATGCTTGTGTTTTGATGGAAATTATACAGTAAGTCTAATAATTACAGCCGTGACTGTTTACAGGAAGCAGCGATGCAAACAAAATTTAGTTTGTTGAACCTGGAGGTGCAAGAGTGGGCACGGCTCTGAAATAAAAAGCTCTTCATTCCTCGAAGGAATGCATATCGATTGCTGCTGCTTTATTTTAATTATGTGCTTAAAATCATGACAGAAATTGGTTAGAGGACAATAAAATGGATGTTTGAGACAAGAAAGTAGTGAAATATTTAGTTTGAGCGTGGTTCATGAATGCATAAGAGGCTGGAAAGTGCTTGAAAAGGGAGAAACCTAATGCTCAGTTGTAGATTAAAATCCATCCTGTGGTTAAAAAGATACTTGGCTAAAAATGTACTGAACCCATGAATTCAAATAAAGACGGATGAAAAGATATCCTATGGATTCGTTTAATTGGCCTGCACAGCAGAAAAATCCACCCCAACCAGAAACCACCTTTCTGACCGGTGTAAATACGTCTCCATCTTTCCTCCTCCAGATGATCGTAACGGACATCTACAATCACCGTTTCCACCGGATCTTCGCCACAAATGAGAACCTCAGCAGCATCATGGAGCGAGATGATATTTACGTGTGAGTGTTTGGCTTTGATAACTAACATCTTTGTTTCGTCACAGTCACAAGCTTGCGTTCTCCATCTCGTTCAATGCGCGTTTCGAAAATCGGGCTCGACTCCGTCCGTCCGATAATGGCGTTGCGTGTCTCCATACCTATGAGGTTTTACGGATAGGTGTACACGGAGATGGCATGTGTTGTCAGCGTAGCTTCAGTAGAGTTGAAACGGAGCTTTTCCTGAAAAAAGTAACGCCGGACTGTGCAGGTAAGCTAACAGCACAGCCTTTCCTGTGAATGTTCGTAGCGCGCCATTGTGAGGCAGTTCTTGCACGCTACATAGTCTTCATCTGGCTTTGTTCCATCCACACAACTAGGGCTGCACTATGTATCGTAAATATATCGTTATTGCGATATCGGCATGCGCAACATGCATATCACGAACAGATAAATATCGTAATGAATGGTCAGCTCAAATGTTTGCTACACAATGCATTCTGTCAATCAAACGGAAGCACGATGTTTTTTAACGAATCAAATATTCACCCATTTGGCCAACTGGGTGGGTTCTCAAAGGTCAGATGCCTGCTCCCGAAACTTAATTTTGATGGTTTACAAACACCTGAGTTGGCTTTGTTTTCTTTTTCCCTTTTTCTTTTGCTTTTTCTCATTTTTAAGATTTTTTTGTCACTTTTAAAAGTTTTTGTTTTTGATCATTTTTGTTCCTGGGTTAAGTTTTTATTCATCGCAAGTAATATCGTCATCGCATTATTAGTCACTGTTATTGCATATAGCAGGTTTTCCTAATATCGTGCAACCCTAGTCACAGACCACATTTATAGTTTTGGACCGTCATTCCTCCTTTAATCACCGCTCCCTCCCTGCAGCTTCGAGGTGGCTGTGAACAGAATGGAGGACACGGACCACGTGGTCATCCCGGTCCACTTGAGGGAAAAGTACAAACAGTCTGGTTATAACCACACCAGCACGCCGCTGTTCGGACTGCCCTTCCTCATCGCTGTCCCAAGATCGCTGAGTGAAGATAAGCTCTACAACATGCTGCTCCTGCGTCTCTGGTTGGTTTTAAAGGTTTTATTTAAAGAGCAAGTCACCCCCAAACCAACTTTTTTTTCTGATAAACGACATGAACGAGTGTCTAATCGTGCTGCAGACATGTGTAGTCAATAATTTGGAACTTTTGTGCATTTTAGTTACATTTTAAATATTCTGCCTAAAACTCAGTGTTGCACCGTCGTAAGGTAAAAACTCTGCACTGTATTTGAATTTAAATCTGCCACCGCTATTGGCTAAGAGGTATGCTATGATGTAAACTGGTACATTATGATGTCACAATGCCTGTGTGTTTGTGTATTTGTTAGCAGCTCCGCCCTCTCGGCCTGCCAGGCAACAGTATTTGTTGCATTTTTCAATCATTAAGTGGGAGTGAAGTAAGTCTCTTGTAGGGGGTGACTTGCTCTTTAAGCTTTATCTACAGCTGTGGCCTCCTAAAGCAGTGTTTGAGTTTTGATCAGAACAGTTGGATTCTCTGATCCTGTGCTTTCTGGTCTACAGCCGGTTTGTTCGATCTTCTGTGGACGAAGATGAGGACAATGAAGAGACGCAGCTGTCTAAACAACACACTGTGAATGGAAATGCCACTAATGGGGTGCTGGAGGAGGGATCGCCCAGTGAGTGCTCAATCGTGTTGCGTTTCTCTTCCTAGCTTCTGCATAGCAGCTTTTGTTTCAGACTTAGAGCAGCAAAAACCTTCTGTCCTCTTTTTTTTAAATAATTTATTTTCTGTTTGGTTTAGGTGAGATGGAGACGGACGAGCAGGACGACGAGTCGAGCCAGGATCAGGAGCTGCCATCGGAGAATGAAAACAGCCAGTCTGAGGATTCTGTGGGCGGGGACAACGAGCTGGAGAACGGTGTGGTCACGCCACAGATCTCCAGCAAAGGGGAGCAAACAGTCGGGCCCACCAGGAAGAGACTTTTCACATTCCAGTTTAATAACATGGGCAAAACGGACTTCTCGCTCATCAAGGAGGACACCAAGCAGATCCGCTTTGACGAAGGACACCTCCGACTCAGTGGTGAGGAGTGGGTTTCATTTGGGGGTCAGAAAATTTGTTAAAAACCATTTTGCATGTGAGAAAAGGCTTAAATTCTCTAATTTACTTAAAGGTAAAGTTTTGGGACTTTTTTTTTCTATACAGATCGCTCTTATCTGTCTTTGGACTGGGAGCCAGAAATCAAGAAGAAGTATTTTGATGAGACGGTCATCGAGGTAAAAGCTTTTAGGACTCGGTCATTATGCTTCTTCTGTTTAATCTTGTCATGGAAACATTCTGAGTTGGTTTAGTGGCAACATCTGCTTTTACCTGATGTTCACCCTCAAGGTAAAAGCCTCAAACTTGTCCTTTTCAGTTTTCTTACGTGATCTCAGACTAAACCGTATCTACAGGGTTCTTATGGATAGGGATGGGTACAGAATTCTGTATTTTTTAAGGTACCGACCGAATTCCGTAGTACCGACCGAGCACCGATTCACGTCATTTCAAACGGTGCCTTGTTTCGGTACCCGTCCTTCATAACGAGAACTTGCCTAGACAGCTTCGCATGCGCAAGAGCGTTATGTCATCGGTCGCTGCGAGCGAGTTGTAAACAGAGCAGCATGATAGAAAGAACGCACGCTAAAGCTTGGGTCCACTTCACTAAATGTGATGGGTAACTGGGTGATGATGAAACCAGCGACAACGATCTAAGTGAGACATCATCTTAATCTGCTCCGGTAGGTAAATAAAATGTTTAAGATAACGTTAGCTTGATATGTTAGCTTCCGTTTCGCTAATGGTGCGTTCGCTTTCTCCTCGGAACTCCGAATTTCCGACTAGAAGAACATGAACGCGCTCTAAAGTTTGGCTTCACTTTACTAAATGCGACGGGTGATTGGGTGAAGATGAAACCAGCGACAACGATCTAAGTGTGAGGCATCATCGTTTAAATCTGCTCCAGCAGTTATATAAACCGTTTAAGATAACGTTAGCTTGATATGTTAGCTTCCATTGCCACCGTTATCATCTGATGGTGCGTTCGCTTTCTCCTCGGAAATTCTAACTTCCAAGTAGGAAAAATCAAATGAAAAAAGACGGTAAAAGGAATGAAGATTCACAGTAAATTTAGTTCACAGTAACGATGTTTGCTTCAGTTTAATTATCAGCTTATAGAACTACAAGGACGATGTTAAAATACAAATAGTTGTATGTTATTTATCGTGATATTTATCAAATATTGTTATATATTGAGAAAAATATATATTTAATTATAAAAGAGAATTAAAATAATAAACACTCAAAAGTATCGAAAATTGGTACCGTTAAGTACCGGTATCGATTCCTAGGTACCGGGAATTAGTACCGGATCGATTCAAATGTCAAAGGTACCCATCCCTACTTATGGGTGCTTGACATCCTTCAACATTCTTGGATTTAACTTTGGTATTTCCAAGGTTCTTTGTGTTTTATTAAAAATGTTTGAAGCTAGAGATACAAAGAAAAAAATGTCTGATGGGTGTTGCCCAACTTTCAGTGTGATGGGAAAAAAAATTGCTATTCATTAAAAAAGTGTTAGAATTTAACTAGCGTTGAGGTGTGTGTGTGTGTGTGTGTGTGACTGCAGGACTGTGACAAACATGAGAGCATGGAGTACAAGCCTCAGAAGAAGGCTTTCGTTAAGCTGAAGGACTGCATCGAGCTGTTTACTACGAAGGAGAAACTGGGAGCAGAGGACCCCTGGTAATCTAACCTGTTGGTTTTTATTAGCTCCACAATTTTACTTCAAACTCTTTCCTTTGTTTTTCTGCTAAACCCCCAAAGGGAAAGACTAAACACGGGCATCTTGTTTACTGAAGTGCTTCTTTTGTGCTCACCTAAAGTTTCACATACATGTGCTGACTCAGGTACTGTCCAAACTGCAAGCAGCACCAACAGGCCACAAAGAAGCTGGACCTGTGGTCCTTACCACCGGTGCTGGTGGTCCATCTGAAACGCTTCTCCTACAGTCGCTACATGAGGGACAAGTTAGACTCACTGGTGGATTTTCCTCTCAGGTAAAAAGACACACACGCACACACACACACACACACTGTGAGGACAAGTCAAAATGTTACTTTAAAGGTGAAAAAGTGTTATTGGTCCTCAGTATTATAGACAAGTACACACACTCTCACACACATACGCTGTATAGACCAGGGGTTCTCAATCCTGGTCCTAGAAGGCTGGTATCCAGCATGTTTTAGTTGTTTCCCTGCTCCAGGGCCCAATCCCATTTCCAATTCTTACACTTCCACTCTTGTGCCCTTAAGTTGCGTGATTTGGACCAGGGGCGCGAGTGTGTAGGGTGTTGCGATTCTTAAGTGCAGAAGTTGATCACACCTCTTTTGCACCCTTGATTTGTACGTCACCCAAGTCTGCATCGATGCAGACTTGGGTGAAGGGTATTACCCACAATCCATCGCTGTGAAGGAAAAGGCTCAAATGCCCTTTCTGAAAATGTGTATTTTCAAATGAAAGTTGTTTATTTTAGGATGATTAGTTGATGCTCTGAATGTTTTAGATAAAGCAGAGATTAATGTAAGTTTATTTCAAATAATTGGTTGTTCATTTGAAAGTTGTTAATAAAGGTTTTTTTTAAGTAGCACAGCGACTTGTATCCCAGCATGCGTTGCAATCGATGCTCCCTGTCCCAATTCGGCAATCGTGTGTGTGTGCATGTGTGCGTGTGCCACGCGCTCAAAGACTTGCTGCGCACTTCCTCCAAGTGCACTTTACAGAAGATCGTAGGGCGCAGTGCGAGTATTGGGATTAGGCCAACACACAGTTCTGCAGCTCATCAAGCTCTGCAAAAGCGTGTTAATCACCTGCTGATTGAAATCAGGTGTAATGAAACAAGGAATCAACTACAACACGCAGGGCCAGGATTGAGAACCCCAGGTATTGACCAATAACTGTACATGTAATGGATAAACCCTTCGTGATGTCACCCGCAGGTTTCTGAAGAGCTGATGTTAAACTTGACCTGTTAAAGCTAAAGTGTTTTTTGTACCAGGCTGTAAACGTGTTTATCTCTGCTGTGACGACGGTGTTTTGAGCATGGAGTCAATGGGGACTGGCTCCTTTCTGGACCCAGCCCCTGGTGGATGAAGGGGGAACTGCAGTTTTCCCCACTTCCACGTTGGCCTCACTTTAGACACGCAGTTACCCGCTTGGTTCAGACCCACTAGGCTATTTCATTTTATTACTGGTGATGGCTTCGAGCATGTTTTGAACAAATGCTTTGTTTTTAGCTCTTGTGGCCAAACATGCCACATTGTTTTAATTCTATGAAGTAAATAAACTTGTTCGCTGTTCACTGAAAACACACTAAAGTGTTGTTTATATTCCTTAAGATGTATTTCACACATCTGCTTCTTCCGTCAGAGATCTGGACATGTCTGAGTTCCTGATCAACCCAAACGCCGGGCCGTGTCGCTATGACCTCATCGCTGTGTCCAACCACTACGGCGGGATGGGAGGAGGCCACTGTAAGGGCTCATTATGTGTCACACAGCCATTTCACCTTAGCTTTGTTATCTGCGTTTAATTTTATGATTCTGTAATCTCTGTTTTCATTCAGGATTTCTGAAAAGGAATGCTTGTTTTGATTACTATTTTATTTTACCAAAGGGCCGCGACTCCTCATATATTGATGTTTTTGATCTGCTCTCAGATACTGCTTATGCTAAGAACAAAGGTGATGAGAAGTGGTACAACTTTGATGACAGCAGCGTGTCTCCTGCCAGCGAAGACCAATGCGTGGTGAGCGTCTTCATTTTGGACAGAACACACAGTCGAGCTGCACTTTGAGCTTTGTTTTAGATGATTCTGAATTTTCTGTTTTCTCTGTAGTCCAAAGCAGGCTACGTGTTGTTCTATCAGCGCCAGGACACGGTCAAAGGCACCGGTTATTTCGCTCTGGACCGTGAGGAGGAGGAGGAGGAGGAGGAAGAGGAGGAGGAGGGTGAGGAGGAAAACGAGTCAGAGGAGCTACAGGAGAGTAAGAGTGTCGCGTTTGCTCAAGAGGCGTCTGCCTGTGCCGCCACTCAAAGCGATGATGAGGAGGAGCTAAATGAGAACAGGAACAGGCAAACTAACCAGGAAGGTGAAAGGGAGGAGGAGGAGGAAGAGGAGGAAGAGGAGGAGGAAGACGAGGAGGAACATGCATCTAACAGGGACATAACCATGAAAATCAACTGAGAGATGAAAGGACGAAATCTTTCCATCCAAAGCCATAAGGACACAGTGGCGGCAGCCGCCACCGGTCCCACCCAGCGGTTTGTACTCAGCCGCTTGACGAGCAGGACCGCTGCCGGGACGACGGCTGTCCGGTCAGAGAGCTGCTGCGGTACGCAGAAACCAGGACCCTCCTGTGGGTGGGTCATTGTGTGTGTGTGTGGTGAGTTTCAAAAGAAAAAGTGTGTGTGTGAGAGCGAGAGAAAAATTGTGTGTGTGTGTGTGTGTGTGTGTGTGTGTGTGTGTGTGTGTGTGTGTGTGTGTGTGTGTGTGTGTGTGTGTCTACAGTCATTCATTTGCTGTCTGAGCAGAGACGCTGAACAACATCTGGGGTGAATCTTCAGCTCTAAATCCCAACTTTGCTTTTTTTTATTGTATTTATTAAAAGTGCTTTATTGGAATATCATTTTAGTATTATTTAGATTTTTATAAATATTTTAAAACACTGAATTTTTACGATGCGCTGAAATGTCTTTGAACTTGCACCAACCATCCACTATGTTATTTTCACACTGCAGTCACCTCAGACGTGAAGAGTTTAGGAGGTGGCCTTCGGTGAGCCGGCTCAAAAACGCCTCTACGATCCAGACTAGAGGGGCCGCGCAGTTCTAGCTGCACGCTACTGTCGTCCTGCATTTTTTTAACTGTTAATTTAAGCTCCGACTTTGTTTAAAAACCTAAATGAAAGCAGGGCGGAGACGTTATCCAGCTGACTTTGCTGAATAACCAGAAGTTTGAGACTAAGGTCCTTCATATTGTGCATCAGCTAGATCTACCATGCCATTTTCTTCTGAAGGCGATGTCTAGGGCTTTATAGCAGCGCTGCACTCTGACGTTAAGTGATCTTTGAGGCTTTTTTGTTTGAGTCACCTCAGCCTTAACTCCAAATCTGGCATTAGTTGCCTTTTGCTTTGCACATCTGTCTCACAGCTTTGAATGTTTGTTAGGTGTTTCCTTCACATCCACTAGAAGGCCAGAATGTACGCTGAATGAACAAAGACCACATGTTTGTGACTGACGATGCCTTTTTCCTCTCCTTCTTGCCCTGTTTTGGCTTCTGGTAATGAGTTATTTGCCTTCGATGCCGGCTGTTTGGATTCATGGGAAAGTTCTTATGTGTGTGTGTGTGTTATCCTGCTCTCCTAGATGAGGGTATAGAGGGGTACTAAAGCTAAATCAGCAGGGGCCAGTCTCCCTGACAGGCCTTTCAGCTTTTAGGATCATGAAAATACAGAAACTGGAGTGTTGGTCGACACCTTCCTGAGCGTCTTCTCCTCTCAGGGCGACTCGCCCCTCTGAGATGTGATTGCTACTTTAAGGTTATACAGTATTGTACAGAAGAGTTCACTCTGTGAGTGCACATTTGATAAAATTTATTTATTTATATGTAAACATTTAATAAGAAAGACTATGTATATACAAAAAAAAAAAAACATGGCAAGACCTGAAATGTTGAGTGGGAGCAGTACACTAGTCTTGTCAGGGAGGGAATATTTTTTTAGACGAGGATAATTCTGTTGTTTCGGGACTGTTTTTGTTGTAAAAAATAAAGATCCAGACGTTCTTGCATGAAGAGTTGGGGATTTTGAGGTTTGGCTGCACTTGAGTTCACTTGGGTTTACATTTGAAATGTGCATGTGTATTTATACACAATCTACAATAAAGTTATGCAAAGCTTCATGAGGACTCTTCTGTGTTCTCTTATTAGATGATGTGTGTGTTTCTTTCTGAACCTCATAAATTTGGTTGTTTTTCTAATAAAGACCTGTTTCTAATCTTTGATTTTGTAAACATGGAAACATCACAGAAGTGTTTTTACACAACTTAACAGAGTGTATCAGGCCAGTGAACTACCTTTTATTGGACCATCACATTTAAAGGTGACATGTCCCATTCAAGTATTTAAAGAGCAAGTCGCCCCCTACCAGAGTCTTACTCCACTCCCACTTCCTGATTGAAAAATTCAACAAATGCTGTTGCCTGGCAGACCGACAGGGCGGAACAAATAAATACACACGCGCACAGGTTCATGACATTCTGACATCATAATCTACCAGCTAACATCATAGTGTACCTCTTAGTCAACAGCAATGGCAGATTTAAATTCAAATGCAGTGCAGAGTTTTTATCTGAAAACTACAACACTGACAGTTTTATCCATCCATTTTCATCCGTTTATCCAGTCGGGTCGTGGGGGCAGTAGCCTAAGGCGAGAGGCCCAGACTTCCCTCTCCCCAGCCACTTGGGCCAGCTCCTCTGGGGGAATCCCAAGGTGTTCCCTGGCCAGGTGAGAGACATAGTCCCTCCACCGTGTCCTGGGTCTACCTTTAGGTCTCCTCCCGGTTGGACGTGCCCGGAAAACCTCGCCAGGGAGGCATCCAGGAGGCATCCTGACCAGATGCCCGAGCCACCTCAACTGGCTCTTCTCGATGTGGAGGAGCAGCGAGTCTACTCTGAGCCCCTCCTAAATGACTGAGCTTCTCACCCTATCTCTAAGGGAGAGCCTAGCCACTCTGCGGAGAAAACTCATTTCGGCCGCTTGTATCCGCGATCTCGTTCTTTCGGTCACTACCCAAAGCTCATGACCATAGGTGAGGGTAGGAACGTAGATCGACCGGTAAATCGAGAGCTTCGCCTTCTGACTCAGCTCTCTCTTCACCATGACAGACTGGTACAACGCCCGCATCACTGCAGATGCAGCACCAGTCCGCCTATCGATCTCACGCTCCAGTTTTCCCTCATTCGTGAACAAGACCCCGAGATACTTAAACTCCTCCACTTGGGGCAGGACCTCATCCCTGACCCGGAGAAGGCCTCAGATTTAGAGGAGCTGATTCTCATTCCATCTACTTCACACTCGGCTGCCTAACCGCTCCAGCGAAAGCAGAAGATCACGTTCTGATGAAGCCAACAGGACCACATCATCTGCAAAAAGCAGAGACCTGATCCTCAGGCCACCAAAACGTTTTAGAATATTTTTATTTTAATTAAGATGCACTAATGTGCTAATTACGGACTGCATGTGTCTACAGCATGATTAAACACTCATATAGTTTATCAGCAAAAAAAGTTGTTTTGGGGGTGACTTGCTCTTTAAAATTACTAATGAGAGGCAAGGCAGCTTTATTTGTAGCACATTTGATACAGAGGCAACTCAAGGTACTTTCCAGGAGCAAGAACAGCTAAATCAATGTGACAGCACAATTAAAATACAGAACATTAACGATCTGATTTAAGAATCAGATGAAGGCAAAGTTATAGGATGAGCAGTTACAGTGCAGAAGGTGCAGCATAAGAGTCATTGAAAGGCTGATGAATGCAAGAAAGATTTCAAATTTGATTTAAAAGTTTCTCGAGTTGGGTCACATTTGAGGTCCCAAGGAAGCTGATTCCATCTGTGTGCAGCATAGCAGCTTCAGCTTGTTTGGTTCTGACCTGAGGTACTTTAAGCCGTTTCCTAAGGATCTCAGAGCCCTGCTGGCAGTGTTTGGAAAGTTTGTTTAAAAAGCAAACTAGTTCAAAGTTCAGTTCATACATTTTAAAACAAACTAGTTCATAGTTCTTTTTTCTCATATGTATATATATATATATATATATATATATATATATATATATATATATATAAAACTTATGAAATAATTTTCCAATAGTTGGCACCCAGTCAGTCCGAACTCATACCCAGCTGCAGTTTTAACCCTACAGTATATTCTCAATAACTTGAGGAAAACATTATTTGAACAGTTTTTTTATGGTGTAACGGAATGAAATGACTGTTTTCCACCTAAAAGTCATTTTCCCCCTCTCCTCAGCAAGAACTTATCTGCGTGAGATATTGCCTCAAGGTCATGCATTTGCTTCTAAACTGTTTTCCTTTCCAACCCAAGAGAAGAAAGAAGAAGAACTCTTTCTATTTTTAATAAAGCTAATCAAACAAAGTGTTAGTCAATAATGAGATGTTGACCAATCTGTGAAATGACAATGTTATGATTAGTAAGTTTTAATAAGTAATATGACTTTAATCTAGACATCCTGATTACACGTAATGTAAACGCACGACACATTGCTTTTACCCATCCAATCAGAACCTTCCTTTCTGAAGCGTGGCATAGTCTCTGTGGTGTTTATAAATCTGTCCAACTTTGATTCGACCGTAAATCAAAACATCCAGATTAATAAAACCAGTCCCCACGCCATCTTAAGTTCAGTTCACCGCATTCTAAGAGAAGTATCGGACCGGCCACCCGGACTTCCTTTTAAGCAAAGAACCAAGAAGCTGGATAAAATTTGTTGCATTTTACCAACCAAGCAACGGTTCCTTTCAGAGTAAAAGCTGAACTCACTGACCCTCCGGGTCCATCTGACGCTGTCAACCAACTGTCGCTTTTTACCTGGAGAAAATCCAATAACTAGTCTGTCGTACTGCTGACGCTGTTTCATCGGCTCCGGTACCGAATGGGGGTCCGAGGACCTGGCATTCTGGATCTGTACGGAGGTCTCATCCTGATGGGTATGTGTGGAGCGACAAAACGAAGTCTCATGTGTTTATGAAACTCCGATCATTGCTTAAGAGCAAAACATCACTTCCCACTCCGACTTGCTTCCCCGGATACGAGAGTTCTGATGACAACATCACTCACACATACACCATTCGTCTCACGTCTCATTCACACCAAGATCCATTCATCACTTAGAGTTTAGAGTTAGTCTTGTTTAGAAATAAATCTTCTTAAACATTTTAAAGGTGACTCTCTTCTCTTGTCTCTCAGTTAATAAGAAGTGTTACATAATCCCTGCAATAAAAAGTTCCAATTTTCTGGTTAAAATTACCCAAAGATCCATAAGATTGATTTCATATTCACTATGGAATCTCATGTCTTATGGTTCATTAAATAGACGTAAATTAAATTCTTACAATGGGAAATTATGAAACAATCTTAGGAAGCAGGCTGAGGTAGCCAACTCAAAGTGCAAAACATTAAAAAATGTATAACGTTTCAGTTAAGTCCCTTTTCAATTTTTCTGAATGAACTTTGACTCCTGCACACATCATAGACATAGAAGTGTAGACGCCGCACCAACCGCTGCTGCCTACGTTTGGCCACATTTGCGGGTTCTACTTTTTATGAACTATATGGTTTACAAGATGTTTTAGCTAGGCTTTAGCTCCGGAAAAGCTCCGTGGAGATCTGGAGCTAGAATGGCGAAAGAACGCGTTCATAAACCCGTTCACGCACGCCAGGACGAATGCACTCACTTTTACGTTCGTCAGGCAAAATACGAATGAGTTCAGTTCACGTTCACAAAAAAAAAACAACAAATTTACGAATGCTTGTTCAATGAACGCGCTCGGGCACAACTTTTTACATTTTACATTTTTACAATTTTTTAAATGACATAAAATAGAGGGGGGTAACTGGGGGACACAGCTCTACAGTAGGGAGAAGTTGCCTCCCTATAGATCCAGCCCTGAGTTTTGGAACAAGGCGTTTAAGAGACACTTCTTTGTAAAATGTCCTTTATTGTGGAATAAAAACTGATCCTAAAGTCTGTGGAGTAAAATCTGCTGTCCAGTGTCAGAAAACTTGTCTCGGTTACACGTCATGGGTCCTCCAATAGGACAATGACCTAAAACACCTAAAGATGCAGTGGGATTTATGGGATGGAGTCCCTGGTTAGGGCTTCTTCCCACACCAGACAGGACAATGAAGGCTTCCGTCTGTTTCTATTTCTAAGACTTGCTGCTGTTTTTGTAACCTACAATGTGATTCTAAATTACATTCTAACTCACCTTGTGATTGAATATAGTTTACCTGATTATATGTTGAGTAGATTCCAGCTCCTAACCTCTCCTTTTACTGCACAGTTTTTGATGGGTTGCTAGATGTGGCCAGCTGGTGGCGCTCTCTGTCAGGTTTCCTCTGAGCTGATGAGCAGAAATCCGGTCAGACACACATCTGTATTTCCTCCAGACTCTGCTGATGTCTGGTCACATTCATTCCCGACAATCCCATTCATTCTCCCCGGCATCCGACAGACAGCATCCTCAAGAAGAGGGTGAGAGGACAAAGAGGAATCCCATTAGGACTTCAAGGATTTTCTCTCATTCTCTGTTTTTGGGTTGAGTGGACTTGATGCTGAGATTTTTTTCTTCCTCAGCACAACGCAGAGAAAGGCAGACCAGATTAGATGAGAATACCGCAGACTCCTGGAGTTCAGCTGCAAGAAGAAAAACTGAGAAAAGAAGAATGTTTGTAATTTTCTCTAATATTTGGGTAATACTTTCATTTACAATAATTAATTTTCTTTTCATCTCAGAATTCATTGTGCAAAAGAAGTGCATGGTATTTTAGTTTTAGTTCAGTGAAATGTGTATTCTATATGATCAGGTGATGATTTTTACATTTATTTCATCTGACATGTTTGGTCTTTTTGTTGCATTTGAAAAATTCTTTCAAACAGAACCTAACGTGTGTCTGAGGAACCTGAAGACGCACCTGTACCAGGCTTCGGCTGAGGTAGTAGTTTGTGCTGTTGGTTGGGTTGACACTCACCCCCCCCCTTATGGAGATGACTGCGCAATCTACTGCCTTGCCGGCGCTGGTGCCTCGCAACATGGACCTGAACAGAAGCTTTGACCTTTATTAGCCATCACTCATTAATAAATAATAAGAATAAACTCAATGTGGGGCACACACGGTTTGTTTAATGAATTCAAGAAAACTCATTAGAATTAGATTTCATTCAAATTTCTCTCTTTAATCCTCAAAATCTTATTATTCCAGGAGGAAGTATGAACTCTAATGGGGATTTAGCAAAAATTAGGGGTAGTTTTAGGAATTGAACTTGAAGGTTTTGGTGTTGGTAAATAGATTTATTAAGTCTTCCAACAATTTCACTTTTCTAAAAATATGTTCATGGGAACATTTTGTGCTGAAGATGGTTTTGTTCCAACAGATCTAACTTGTAAATATGTAATAAAAAATAAAACCACCATATAACGCCTATGACGGTGTGTGCATTTCTGTTGAATAAATCATAAAAAGCCCCCTTTTCATTCAACAAATTAGTTTTTTTGTCTTTCACTTTTCTTAAATCACATTCGACATCAGACCATTATTTGTTCTAAAATATTTTAATATTCATCAAAACCATTTTGTGAGCCAATTCCATATTTATAAGGAGCTGAAACATGGCGTCTGGAAAAGGCACCCTTAAAACATGAGACAGCTGGAGCAGTTTGCTCATGGGGATTGTGCCAAAATACCTGCTGAGAGGTGAAAAAGTCTCGTTGACAGTTACAGGAATTGTTTGATTGCCTCAAAAGGTTGAGCAACAAAATATGAAGTTAGGGGTACTGTAATTTTTGTCCAAGCCTTTTCCATGAGTTTATTTTTTAAACTAATTCCGTTTGAAGCATGGTTGAAAAGCAACGTCTGACTTTCATTGGTTGAATTTCATATAGTTTTTATTAATTACTACTTTTGTCTCATTCAAGTTATTTCTGTGCCCATTGTGGGTTTTTCTTTTATTGACCGAAGGGTACCAACCATTTTGTCCACGTGAAAAGTTGAAGTTGGAACTTTTTGTTTTTTCGGTGCCCGTCTGGTGACATTGAGGAAAAAATAAAATTGGTGGCCACGCATTAACATCTCGTGGGAACGCATTAATAACTCGTGGCCACGAAATACCAACTTGCTCCCATGCATCAAGTATCTCGTGGTCACAAGTAGCTTTTTTTCCCCTCAATGTCACCAGACGGGCACCGTAGTTGTTTTTTTTTTAATGTTTCTTTAGAACAAAAATGGGAGGATCAGATTAGAGAAAAAATATTAAATATAAGGCTTTGATTGTTTATTACTTGGATTTGGTAAACAGGCTAAAATATCTGAACCCAGCTTTAATCTGACAGTATTTTCATTCAGGTTGAAAGTGAAGATAAAAAAAATTCTAACCCATATAAACATGATTTTCAGTAATGAGGGGATTCTGCATAAATGCTGTTCATCACTGTGCAACCCAAAAGTGTCGTGTCTAGATGTGTTGAAGACAACTCAGAAAAGAGATTTAAGGTACAGGAAGTGGCATGGTTGTTGGTACCAGACGGTCTGGTCTGAGGCTTTTCAGAAAATGTTTATGTTTATGTTTATGTTTATGTATTTAGCAGACGCTTTTGTCCAAAGCGACTTACAAGTGATAATCGGCATATTGCCCTTGAGGTAACAACAACAATAACAACAACAACATTGACATCAGTCATGGGGAGTAGGGAACAAGGAGTGGACAGTAGAGAGGGGGGACGGGTGCAGGCAAGGTGCTAGTTAAGAAGATGCTCTCCGAAGAGCAGGGTCTTCAGGAGTTTCTTGAAAATAGAAAAGGAAGCCGCAGTTCTGGTAGTGTTAGGAAGGTCATTCCACATTTGTGGAACGATGCATGAGAAAAGTCTGGATTGTCCTGAGCGTGGTGTAGGCACTGCTAGCCGACAATCCTGTGATGACCGGAGCGGCCGGGCCGAGACGTAAGCCTTTGCAAGAGGATTCAGGTAGATGGGAGCCGTACCGTCTCGGACTTTGTATGCTAGTGTTAGCAATTTGAATTTGATGCGTGCTGCTAGCGGTAGCCAGTGGAGCTCAATGAACAGAGGGGTGACGTGTGCTCTTTTAGGCTGATTGAAGACCAGACGCGCCGCTGCATTCTGGACCATTTGAAGAGGTCTCACAGTACAGCCTGGAAGACCATTTAGAAGAGCATTGCAGTAATCGAGGCGGGAGATGACAGTAGATTGCACCAGGAGCTGGGTGGCATGTTGTGTTAGGTATGGTCTGATCTTTCGTATGTTGTACAGCGCAAAGCGGCATGAACGGGCAACAGAGGCAACATGATCTTTAAAGGCCATGTGTTCATCAATGACAACACCCAGATTTTGAACTGCCTTTGAAGGAGCCAGAGATGGGAAGTCATTCTGGATTGAGATATTGTGCTGTATGGATGGTTTTGCTGGGATGACAAGTAATTCAGTTTTAGAGAGGTTGAGTTGGAGATGGTGGGATTTCATCCATTTTGAGATGTCAGAGAGACAGTCTGATATTCGTGCTGAGATAGTGTGGTTTATCTACTAGGATTTGCACCAACAACCATCTCTGAGGTTAACAGAAACCAGTCATAAAGAGAAAATATCCAGTGATTATGTTTGTGGTCAGAGAACAGGTAGAATGGTTCAAGGCAATTCAGATGTTCAGGTCGGAATTTGGCATCAACTACATGGAAGCATGAATTCATCCTGGCTCGTATCAACGGTTTAGGCTGCTGCTGGTGTAATGCTGTAGGGGGAATGTGCATGGCCCATGCCAAACCCCTTAGAACCACCTGAGCCTGGTTTAAACACCACAGCCTACCTGAGCATTGTTGCTGACCATTTCCATCCCTTTATGACAACACGGACCAATCTTCTGATGGCTACTTCCTGCAGGAAAATGCACCATGTCACAAAGACCAGATCATCCCTAACTGGTTTCTTAAACATGACGAGTTTATTGGACTCCAACGACTTCCACAATCACCAGATCTCAATCAAGTCCAGAACCCTTCAAATGAGATGGTACAAAAGATCTGTCTCATGGATGTAACTGTGTGATGGTGTCGTCTCAGGATTCTTATCCCGCTTTGCTGCAGAAAAACCCTCTGGATCAGAACCTCTGAAGAAATGTTTCCAAACACTCTGTTAAATCTATGGCATGAAGAATTCTGGAGGCAAATTTGGGTCAAACCTATCACTAGTGGGTTCTATTAGGGGTAGGCGATGTATCGAAAACACTCGATACAGAAATGTATGTCTATTACTGACGTCATATTGCTCACGTCAATATAACAGGTATTTGTATGTAGGTTGCCAATGTTCATGTTCCTTTAAGAGGCTGTTCTACCAACTGGATGGGGTGGAGTCTCATGATATTGAGGAAATGGATGATGATTGGCAAAAACTAAATTCCAAATGCTGCCAAACGGTTGTTGAAGGATTTTTGTTCTCCTCGAATAAAGCTACCATCGCCACCTCTCCCTCTAACTAACGCAATATTATGTTTTGTCTTATAATGAGACAATGTGCACTTGTTACATCGATTGTTACATATTTATTTTCTTTTTTTTTTTGTCCGGATGAGAAACACTAAAGGTAAACATAGTTTTTCCCCCTTCCTTTCTTGCAAAGTCAGTTGTACAACATTAAAAATACTTCTTCATGTCTACCATTTTTGTTTTTATAAAACAACCATCTCACATTCACAGAGAAGTTGAAGGTAGCACAACAGTCACGTATAAACAGAGCCTCCCATCCCGCTTTGCTACAGAAAAACCCTCCCATTTCCAACTGTGTAAGGTAGAAAAGTCCAGTAACAGCAAAGACATTCACAATACAGAACAAAACAGTTGGATTGATGAGAATAAATGAATATTCAGGTCTCAACGCCAAATCTTAGGGAGCCATGACACCACCCTGGGGGCACACCTTCCTAAAACAGCAACATTGCACAACTAAGCCATGATTCAGCCTGAGTTAAAAGGGACAAATACATAGTTTTTTCCACATTCATTGAAGAGAGAAAAAAAAGAGGCTTGAACGACAAGTAAAAGGATAAGCATTCCACAAATAACATTTCCATCTTACTGTCATTTATACTGATTAGGTAAAAGTTTACAGTGTCAGAAAACCTGGGGTAAAACAGCAATTAAACAAACTGCATTGCTACAGTAGCAACAGAAAATAATCATGTTTAAAGAAGGAAATCTGCACCATATGGGCTTATGAAAATAAACTGAAATAAAACGGTTTTGATAATTTTTAGTGCAGTACAATGGCACACGGAGATTAACAACAATTAATGTGGATATTCTGCACTCTAAGGCTGTTTCATAATTAAAGGGCAGTGTCCCTTGAAGGACTCAGGCTACCTGGTAGTTGTATAGGCCGGATTCTTCCTTAACCATAAAGACTGGAAGTGAGCAGCTGTGAATTTGGGCAGTCTAGCCTTCAGGTTTATTCCCACCCTTACCTCGATGTAGTCGAAGTCCCATTAGTCATCATCACACAATGGTGAAAGAATTTACATCACCGCATTTGACCTATCCCCATGGGGAGCAGCGGTGAGCTGCAGCAGCGGCCCCCCAATCCAACCCCTTAAAGCTGAGTGTCAAGCGGGAAAGCATTTTGAACTCTGATCTCTCAGTCCCAGGGTGGACGCTCATACCACTAGGCCACTGAGAAGTTACGCTAATTCTGTAAGTTCTGTAAGCTAGCAACCGCGCTAATCAGAGGTTAGAGAGAAAATGGAGCTAACATTTTAGAGTTTCATTATTATTTTTTCTCAAGGAACTAGACAGCAGCTATTAAATAAAACCAAAAATAAAAATCATTCAATGGTAAATGGCACGTAGCGCCTTCTAGGGTTCTACAACCCCTCAAGGTGTTTCACCCACTCACATAAACATTCACACACTGGTGATGAGCTACATAAAAACACAACTGTTTTAAGCTTATAATTTTTGTACCACCAGATTGTATTGTACTGCAATTTGAAACTACTCTTCTCCAACTCCGCCCACCATTATTACAAGAACGAAAATCACCCGTACACCCCACAATGAAACCTGGGATATGGTAGACTATGACGAATATACCAGGTGTGTCCTTCAAATCTGTGGATAGACGCATTTGGAGGAGCCTTTGGTCTCATCGTTGTGATGTGATTGACCTTCAAAAACAGCCTTCAAAGGATGCAGCCCCTGAATTTGGACACAGCCTAAGTTTACCTTTACCTTGTGCAACAGCATTTAAATTCAACCCATTAAATAATTAAAACATTTTATAAAGGACAGAACCTAAAATGTTAGTGAACGTGTAACACACTAATGACTTTGTTGACCCAGGAACACTGACAGCTCTTTGCTAAGCTAGGCTAGGCTGAGCTAGCTGGGTGCTAACCACCTGTACAGACAGGAGGACATTTAGTTCTTTGTCCTTGACAGACTGTTTAATAAAGTTAAAAGACATAACTCCTAAAGTAAAGCAGTGCAAATGAAAGAAAATGAACATAAATACATTTCTTCAATAAAATCAATAGACTCATACAATTAAAGCCTTCTGATCTGATTAAACATGCATATTCACTAAAAAAGGGAAATTATTTCCTGCACATTACTGATTCTACAACTCCACCCAAGTACATATTAGTGTTTAAACTCACAATCATTAACTTATGTTTTGATGTCATCTTAATGTTTTATTCCACTTTGCTTGATTGGCTGGTTTTAGGAAAGCCTCGGATTGTAAAAGTCTCCTTTTCGAGGGGTCTGGAGTTCTAAAAATGTAAAAGATACCATTTCTTTTAGTTTATTTTTTTAAACGATGTCTTTTATTTAATATTGGAAATCATCAAAGGGATCAATACCTGAATTTGATGCATGAGGAGGAACACGGCAATTAGATAATTTCAAGAGATAATGTGTAGATTTTTTTTACCATTAATCTCTAAAAATATCCATCGAAATGCTGTTAAAAATGAATTAAATGATGCCAAGTTGTTGAAAAATGTGGTTGAACGATCTAAGAAAGTAATCGTACGAAAATTGCGTTTCAAGGGTTTTTTTGACTCTAATGGCCATCTGTTGGCAGGACCTTACTCGAACACAAAAATACATCTTGCTTGTAATGATTTAGGTATGCACTTCCCTCTGTCGCCTGGGAAAAAACACTCCGTCACTTTAATCAACATATCAACGTAAAGAAATTTTTTTCTTTAGTATTGGTGACAAGTTAAAAAGTAACCAAACCCATTTTTATTTTGCTTATTAACTGTATAACTGGGTCTTTACAAATGCAATCTTTCTGTTTCTGTGCATTTTTGGACATGTTTGTGTAAACTTGATTAAATTTAGAATCTAGGTCTTAAAACATCTTAGTGCTGCCCCTTGTGGCAGAACAGCAGCTACTGCATTTTAAATTTGTGATTGACTGAGGCTGGTACAATTTCACATCATCGGTACAGACTCCTCCCATTCCCCCTCCCTCCCAGGGTGGAAATTCCCCACACTTGGCCATGCCACTCTGTGCCTCCTGGCTACGCTCACTTCCACAGCATTTTTCAAATCTTGGCTAGGGGTGGAGTTACATTTTCTGATGGTGTGCAGTCCCTCTTTAAAGAGCAAGGCATCCCCTACCAGAGTATTACTTCTCTCCCTTCTTGTTTGATAAATGCAGCAAATGCTGTTGCCTAGCAGACCGAGAGGGCGGAGACGCTAACAAATACACACACACACACACACACACACACACACACACACACACGCACACGCACGCACGCATGCACGCACGCATGCACACACACACACAATGACATTGTGACATCATATGGCACCAGCTAACATTCTAGGGTACCTGGCTCTTAGCCAATAGCGATGGCAGATTTAAATTCAAATGCAGTGCAGTTTTTACCTGACAACGGCACGACACACAGTTTTAGGCAGAAAATTAAAATTTTAACTAAAATGCACTAAAGTGCAAAACTATTGACTTCACGTGTCTGCAGCACGATTAGACACACATTTATATAGTTTATCAGGAAAAAAAATAGATTTGGGGTGACTTGCTCTTTAAGGTTTTTCATGCCATATTTTAAATAATAAAACTCAAATACTATTTTAAGCTATCCATGGGCTTATGTTTTTTTGTGTTCAACAGGGCTGCATTATATTACAAAAACAAGCAAGATATTGTTCTTGAACATTGGGATGATCCTAGTCTCATACTTTTGGTATCTTAGGCAAGCTGACCTCATCTCTTTCTGAAGCCTTGAAAATAAATAAAAACAAAACAAATAAACTAATCTGTGAATATCATTGGTCCATTTCATTTCCCTCTTTAACTTTTCATGTCCTAATACTTGTGAAAACAAAACGGCTTCTTGCACATTTACAAACAACGATATCACAAATCTTTCAAAACATGACGTAAATAAAAGCTCATAAACAGCAGTTTAAACCATTGCACCGTTGCTCATCCCAGGCCTACAAGTTACTGCATGTCCTGATAAAAACAAACTACATCCACACGGTTTCATTCCCTGCTGAGGCAGCATCGTCCTATAACATCCCAGCATGCAGATTAAAAAACTACAAAGCTTTCAGATTACTGTTTTTGTCAAACTTGATTGTGTTTCAGAATTTTTTAACTGTTTAATCCTCCTTTCTGTCAATTTTTTTGCGAATTACGGCAAATAAAGTGCGACTACTGAGGTACAGCCAGCTGATTCAGACTTTTCTCTTAAGGGTCAGGGTTACATTTTCTACAGAACATTTTTACCACTTATCAACCAAAACCTATTAACGAATCCCATCGAACGGTCTTCCTACTGCTAGTCAATGAAATGTTATTAATGAACCATTATTTCTGCCCTCATCCATTCCTCCATTTTTTCCAGGCAAGCTGGGAGCCGTTCATCAGCAACTGACCCTTTGAAGCCACACTGTGGCGAAATGGAAGAAACGCAGCTGACCCGTCAGCTTGGTCCATGTTCACGAGACGGAGGTATTTCTTCTTAAATCCGATAAATATACAGGATAGGAGCAAAAACAGGAAGAGCATTCGGACTACAAACGAGGTCAAGAGGAAACAGGTGGTGACTTTTCTTTACTTCTTACAAACATTCCTTTATTTTAGCTTTCAGATCTCTGCAGATGTTCAGGAAAAGCTGCATCAATCACTTTGCAGAATTAATTAGTGCAAATGTTAAAACTTTTTTTTCAGTTTCCCAGCATTGATTTTGACACACATTGTGATGTTTTGATGTCTGACCAGACCTTCCTGAACAATACAGAGAATCAAAGCACCGACAGAATCAGGATTCTCCTTCACGCATGTCTAAGGAAGGGATTTACAAAAGGAAGAAAGGGTTCGGTTGAGAAGAAGAAGAAGAAGAAGAAAATATCATTGGGTCTTTGAGTCCAGGAGGCCCTTCAGTTCTTTGAAGCCAGGCTCACAGGGCACGCGGTTACCGTACATCAGAGGTATGATGAAGACTGAGATGTCATCTCCGGAGCCCAGACGCTCGTTGGTGATCCTCCATCCTCGGTCTCTCAACACGCCACGCGCTCGCATCACCAGGTCCTGCGCTGCCATCGTATACCTGCAGGAGACAGGAAGGAGGGTTGCCATGTTGTTTTCTCCCATCTTTAGTTTATTGTACAGAAAAGACTGATTCTACATCTCACCTGTGTAAATCATCAGGGTCACAGTTGGACAGGAAGGTTGTTATTGATTCTGCAACTTCCTCGTTGGACAGGACGTCCCAGAGGCCGTCGGTTCCCATCACCAGAACATCATCAGCCCCGTGCTCGTGCTGCATCAGATTATACACCTTCACCTGCAGGACGAACCGCCAGACTCCTCTTCAGTCGACTTTATCATTTGTAAAATCTGGTCTAATACACTAAACTCACCACAGGTGTCTGCAGCCTGAAGCTCGGCTCGGCTAGAAACAATAGGACACTAACTCATGTTTTAAATATAGATCGAATTAAAATACAGTTTTATGCACTTTTTCTTATTTTTCATAGAATAATTTCATTGAAATTCCACAACAAGATATAAAAAGTGCTCGAAATATAATTTAAATCAGTTTTCTTTCCTACATCATTTTGTTCAAATACCAACATCCCACTAAAAATAATTTCCTAAATCCTTTTGTAGAAGTTTTAGATTTCTTCTTAAAAGGACACATTATGACTTTTCTCTCAAGCTATTTTAGTCCCATGGTTACAAAACATGTTTCTAAGGTTCTCTGCACTAAATCCCTCTCACATAAAGAGATTACAGCTGTTTTAATCTGGACGGTTTCAGGACCTTCCAGAATGAGACGTTTCAGGGCTCTGTCCAGGCCTGTTCCATGAGTTTATTTTTTAAATTATTCAGTTACAGCGTGATTAAAAAGTAATGTCTGACTTTTATTGGTTAAATCTTATAGAATTTTTATTTATTATTACTTTTGTCAGATTCAAGTTATTTCTGTTACCTTTGTGGGTTTTTCTTTCATTGACCGAAGGGTACCAACATGTCTGTATATTTGACAAAAATTATAATATGCCAGATAGTGCTGTAACAGCTAAAGCTCTAAACAAGTTTTATTCTGCTGGCCTGAAGGGAAGAGCAGCTCTTCTAACGGTTGCCGACCCCTGGGCTACGACCCGGCTGAACTCTCCGTTTCTTTGAGTTTGTTTCTGTTCCTCCTCTGATCCATCTTCACAGACTTTCTCACACTCTAGTCCATGAGATCGCTGTCCAGACTCTGTGTAGGCCGCTCGTCCTGTATGTACTTTATGTTCCACATCCTCTAACTTTTGTTTTCTGCAGCTTATAAGAGACATTGTGTCATCTTGCTAAAAAATGCCATCATTGTCAGGATTTTAATGGTGACGTTCAGAGAGAAGTCCAGAAAAAGGGGGGTGTATCTTAGTAAAGTGTAAATTTGATCAAAGATGAGTAAATGTATGAAATTTTCAGAAAATACTGAGAACATCTGACATCCAAATACAACAAAGGGTCTTTGAAGTGCTGAATTTCGGCATTTATTTAATTATTTGGTTATTTATTGCCTACTGGTAGGAAAATTTGTTTCAGGTCTCTATTACAGGATATCTGCAGGTTTAAGGGAGCCAAATTTAAGACTTTTTAAGACCTTTTTTAAGGCCACTTTGACCAAATTTAAGCTCATTGTCGTCTTCCTCCACTTATCAGGGTCCGGGTCATGGGGGCAGCATCCCAACTAGGGAGCTCCAGACCGTCCTCTCCCCGGCCACCTCCACCAGCTCCTCCGGCAGGACCCCAAGGCGTTCCCGGACCAGATTGGAGATGTATCCTTTCCAATGCGTCCTGGGTCGACCCGGGGGCCTCCTGCTGGCAGTACATGCCCGAAACACCTCCCCAGGGAGGCGTCCAGGAGGCACCCTGACCAGATGCCTAAACCACCTCAACTGACTCCTTTCAATCCAGATCCAAATTTAAGCTATTTTTTAAATTAAATTTAAGCTATAATTTCCAGCTATTGCCTGGAACCGGTGCTAACCACGTCACGAACGTGAGATTAACCATCCATTTACCATTAAACTTGCACTTCTCCATGGCGCAAGCTCCCACTAGCTTAACCAGCTAATGTGCTCATCTAAAAATAGTCCCCTTTCACAACCAACTGAATGTGTACGGTTCCGCTTACGCCAACATCGTACACAAAAAATGCTGAAGACTGACTAGAAATTCACAAAAATATCATAGAAATAAAATAATATAGTTTATTGGGTCTTTGGTAATTTAAGACGTTTGGAAACAGTATTTAAGGATTATTTGTCATTTTTAAGGATTTTCAAGGCCTTAAATTTGGAAAAGTAAATTTAAGACTTTTTAAGGACCCGCGGATACCCTGCTATTAGTTAAATCTCAAATTATTTCATTCCTTTTCTTTTCTACTTTTATGTTGCTACAAAACTAACCAGTGTGCATCAAAAACTTCATAGAGAAAAGAAAAAAACACCAGAAATCCATCAGAACACAAACGCCCTACACACAGATATCAGCTCACAGAGAAGAAGTCACTCAGGATCCAGAACTTTCCACAGCTCTGCACATCAAACAAGACACTTTATGATATTTTCCTTAATGAACTCAAAGCCGCGTTCCAGAGCTCATCCTGAGAAATCCACAGGAGAGGCTTTGTGCTGGTGAGGAGGAGGAGTGCCGAGGGAAAGGCTCCACGTGAACCTGCCGTGAACCCCGGCAATAATGAATTAAAGATTAAGCAGAGAGCTCTGGGAGGAAAACTGGAAAAAATCCATGAGACAAACTACATCAGGAGATGAAAGCACTTTGAATCCAGCGCCAGACCGAGAGACAGGTGAACTGGAGTTCTCCAGCAGCAGAGGGTTGTTCAGACGAAGATGCAGTCACGACAGCCAGATAAATCACATATCTTACCGTTTTATTCTAGATATACATTTCCTACTGAAACACTCAAAAAGTCAGTGGGTTTGCTCTTACCTCGGGGCAACAGGAAAGGAACGGCTTGATGTAAATGTTGGAGTCGTGAACTTTGAGGTCATGGTCCCCTAGCCCACGGGTCACACCGATGGTAGCCAGAACCCGTGCCTGGAAAATGGACAAGATTAACTTTAGGTCACTTCCATCCATTTCCTTACATTTCACTTCCAAAGCAGCCTGACTCCTGCATGAATACAGATAAGAGGTGCAAAGGTAGATGGCAGAGTGAACAAAGCATTTTAAAGAGATACTTTGCAACTTTTTCAGATTTTAAAATCCTTTTCTTGAGCCAGTATGTGTTCAAATGACTCTTTACAGGGTTAATGAAAGTCCAACCAGCTCCCTGTGGCCAGAATATCGCACTTGCAACATCGCAGGTGCTGGTCTGGTCTGCTTGGACTTTGAAAAAATTGAGCTGACCTACCTGGCGCTGCTGTCTGGCATCAGCACGTTTCCTGCATGTTTTAGATCATGAACCCAGCTGTTTTGTTTAATTTAGTGATGAATCACTCTTAATGACCCTTAGGAACGCTGGGAGACATTTCAGCTGTTAGATTAAGGTGTTAAAAAGACATACGCACAGTGAGGAGTTGGTTTCGCTTCTACAAACGGACATTCTTACCTTTTTTCCTTCCCCGTATATCAGAGGGAACTTGAGATCTTCGTCTTCAATAGTCTTGTATGCCCTGAGTGTGAGAAAAGAACACAAAAACAAAGAGAGAGGGTTTTTCCCCTAAAGTTTTGTTACAAAAATGATGAAGCTTTCTGGAAATAAAAAAGAAGTTGGCCTTAAACAAGTCTTAAACAGTTTAAGGTTATAAGAAAGTAAATCCAAAGACCCTTTTAAATCTGTGAAATGACTTTTGTGAATGTCAATGCAAATTATGCATTATTTAATTAGAAAATTCAAATGTGCTTTAATGGATTGGATTTGGAATCAAACAAGGCTCCTTTATAGTCCTAAAATATCACGGGTTTACCTCAGGTGACATCATGCCTGTTACACTCAGCCACATAGGAATAAATGGTAAATGGCCTGTATTTGATATAGCGCCTTCTAGAGTCCTGGAACCCCCCAAGGCACTTTACAACACAATCAGTCATTCACCCATTCAGACACACTGGTGGGGATGAGCTACAATGTAGCCACAGCTGCCCTGGGGCGCACTGACAGAGGCGAGGCTGCCGAGCACTGGCGCCACCGGTCCCTCCGACCACCACCAGCAGGCAATGTGGGTTAAGTGTCTTGCCCAAGGACACAACGACAGCAACAGACTGAGCGGGTCTCAAACCTGCGACCTTCCGATTGCGAGGCGAGCACTTAACTCCTGTGCCACCGTCGCCCCGCAATAAAAATGCATGAATTATTTTGTAATTCATTCATTTTGATGTAAAGAAAGAGGATATCTGGATTTTTTTACTGACAGCACCATCTAGTGATGGACAGATGTATTGCACTCAGCTGCGGTTTTCACTTCCATATTTATGGCCGAAAGCAACGCCTCTCGTTCATGAACGTGCAAAAAGAAAAAAAATAGATGTTTTGCCTTCATTATATCACAGTACATAAAATAATCACTTTTACAGATAAAAAAAATCATACATAATTCCTGAAAGGGGAAAACTCCGTATTGCTGCTTTAAAGGTTGAAAATTGAACACGGACACTCTGGCGACATCTAGTGTTCAGAGGTGGTAGCTGCAACAACAGAAAACATTTTCCAGCCGTCGTTGGTTCACTGCTGACACGTTAAGTGGCCAGCCAAATCCATCAGGGTAAGGGCTAATAAGATTATTTTACAAAAGTATTTACCGTTGGAACATCTTCTGGGCTCAGAATCAGCTGCTTGACTTGTCGCTGAGTGAAAATTTTAGAGCAACTGTGCACTCTAGTGGCTGGTAAACATAAATACAGTGTCATGCTCCACTTAATTAAAATTAGTTTTTTTTCCCAAATATAGCTTTTAAAGGAAAAACTGTAAATTCATTCTGCACACCTCTAAACACCCCGTGGAGGTGTTATAAAAAAAGCTTTTTATTAAAATGTCCCATAGTCCACCTTTAAAGCTCGAAATTATGAATACTTAGGGAGTGTGCCTAATTGATTGATAGGTAGCAGATCAATCTCCAGCTTGCTCCAGGAAAGGCCTCAGCCCCACAATAAAAGTGTTACAGCCCGGAAGGCAGATGGTAGCAGATTTTCTGGCTGAAAGCGCTCGCCAACCTCCATTAGCTTAAGTTAGCAAGTAGCTACATTGGCTCAGAGTTTGATGGGTGCCAATCTTCTGCCACCACCCTCACAGCCCCACTCTCAGCTTCATTTAGCATTTTCCATCTGTTACGTGAAGCATAACACAGCTAAGATGGTGGTGGAGGGAACCGTCCGCCGGGCTTTAATTCAGCTCTTCAGAAACCTGCAGGTGCTGCCGCGGCAGGTTCGTCCATTTAATGGTGTAAAAGTTAGCTAAAACAAGCTTAACAGTTTCTCCTGCTGCCACCTAGTGGTCATTAATAAATACTGCTGTTGTTGAGCTTTACGCTCACGAACCAAAAACAGCTTTTATCAGATATTTCTCATTCTAAAGCTATGTGCAGACATTTGTTTAAAGTTAACATTGTGAAAGCAGTTTGGCTTAAAAGATTTTGACATAGATTGCATCACTGTGTGTTTACAGCGACAGCAGACCTCTATGCTAAGTGTTTATGGCACTAAAAACCTTACAGAGAGAGAGTGAGACAGAAGGAGTCTCAGAGAATGTTGCAACCATGTTTGTGTAAGTCAGTTGTGCTGGAGACGGTGAAGCGTCATCAGCCTCCCTCACACCCCTGCTCGTCAAATCGCGTGCCTCTCGTCACTCATTTAATTGTCCTCGCACCGTTTAATCTCAACAGTGACTGAGCTGCTGGGTTATTGACTGACAAGTACCAGTTTTTGTTTCATGGAATAAAATGATTAAAAGCTTTGGGTAACTAAGAGTCAAAAATCAAAGTATACTTTCAAACTTTTCATAATAAATAATAAAAACTAAACATGCACACCATCCACTCATGGTGAAGTCTCTGTACAGCATCCTCTTGCCCACTTCCTTCCTCTGAATTCTGCGGGGGAATTCCAGGTGTGTGAACTCGTTCCCTAACAAGTGAGGCTGCATGTAACCCTGCAGGACAGAAAACACCCTCCAAGTCAACACAAGTCACATGTTTTAGTAAAAACAGGTCAACATTTCTTGCTTTTGTTCACCAGAAACTGGAGTCGTTGTCGTTCAGACTCAGGTGTGAACTCTGCAGACATGGGTATGATGTCATTGTTTCTGATGATGATGGCTCTGCAGGGAAAACAACAAGCCATTTGAATGAACACACAGCTCTTTGTTTCTGCCCCAAAATGTCTCTGGCTCCCTCAGGTTTAATATAACATAATTAGTGTGCCGGCACCTCTTTAAAGAGCAAGTCACCCCCCAAACCAACTTTTCTTGCTGATAAATTATTTTAATGAAAGTCTAATCGTGCTGTAGACACGTGCAGTCAATAATTTGGCACTTTAGTTCAAATTTATATATTCTGCCTAAAACTGTCAGTGTTGCGCCCTCTTCTGGTAAAAACTCTGCACTAAATTTGTATGTAAATCTGCCATCGCTATTGGCTAAGAGGTAACCTATGACGTTAGCTGGAACCATATGATGTCAGAATGCCGCTGTGAGCCTGTGTGTGTATTTGTTAGCGGCTCCTCGGTCTGCTAGGCAACGTGTCCTTGTGGCACATTTTTCAAACAGGAAATGGGCGTGGAGTTAGATTCTGGTAGGGGTGACTTGCTCTTTAATACCATGGCTAAAGCAAATCAAACACACCTGCTGTCACCTGCATTCCCAACATAGAGCTTCCCCAGCAGGTACACCACGGTGAGTGCCGTACAACCTCCACTGATGTTGTAAACGTGCTTCTCCCTCTCGATCTGGACATCCTGAGTAAACATTTTAGAAAACGAATATGAGAGGCGGGTTATGTTTACCTTCAACACCCTGTTGGAAATGATAGAAATACCAACAGAAATTTAAAGCGTTGATTTCTTTCCCCTGAACCAGCAGCAAGTTAATGTTATGTGCTTCATTTCTTCTGTTTATTTCTACATCCTGTTTCTGGCTTCACACAGCAGGTAAAAAATACATGGCTGTTTCCAGTCTGCAGGCAGAACCTCACAGAGGAGAGATTTTTCTGTCTGAAGCTTTTAAAGGGGTGGATTGTTTTTCTTGGCAACTGCTTTAAATGATGCAGAGATGATCTTCAATAAAGCATGTCACATCAAGAGTCGGGCGTGTCTTTTCGCCATGGGAATGACGACAGGGAGCCTGTCTGACTAGAGCTTTAATGAGGGTTTTTATTTCTTTTTGAGCACCAGTGTTCACCATCGCTACCCTCTACTGCCATCTACTGGCCACATTCTGGCACTGCCTCAGTTAGGGCCAAATGATTACTTTAAAGATATGTATCTCTACATATTTGTATTCTGTTGCATTTTTATATCATACATGTAAACTAAGTGCAACAATTAGATTTTTTTTTTAACTTTTCTGCTTTTTTGCATTTTATTACAGAACATCTGAAACAGCTTCTTGTACGGTGTTATAAAAATCTTTACCATCTCTTTGAAGGCATTCTCTATTGCTCCGATCACCAGGCTCTCATGCTGGATCTTCTTCTCCGTGTAGAAGCGCGGCGGGGGCGGGGTGTTGCTAGGGGAGCTCGGAGCACCCGAGGCCCCGCGCAGTGAAGCCGCCCGGGTCAGGGCGCGGTGAGGGCCTGGAGTGTTTCCTTGTAGGTAGGGGGTATTATCAGGCTCCTCCCCCATCACCGCAGGCGGGAGAGCATGGAGGTTGCGTATGATCTCGATGACGACCTGAAGCTGAAAGGCGATGTGGTGCTGGAGCAGTCGGGAGGCAACGACTGCTGCACCTGAACCGGCGTGACCATCGAACAAGGCCCAGTAGTGGAAAACGAGCCCTTCGCTGTCCTACAAACAGAAACATATCAGACTTAAACTAAACCTTCTACGATAAATCACTCACTTACAACCAAATGACCTCCAACTTCATAAATGTAATCCTCAGACGGCCACATCAGCCTTTCCCTGGATCAGACTAAGAGGCATTACTTCATATTAATCAAGTTTACCAGCGGGTTTCAATGAGACCACGCCTTTAGAAAACAAGACTTTATTCCTCTGTACCATAAAACTATTAAAGCCTACATAAGGGGCAGAATGAGTCAGGTGACACATTTGTGTTTAGTAACTATCATTGGCTACACCTGAGCTACTGTAACACAGGTCAGGTACATGTGTAGTCACCGTCTATGGAAGAAATAAAGTCTCACCAGAATATAACCTTTTTAGACATTGAAGTTTTATTATATGAAATTGTGCATTTGAAAATTTTCACTGAAAATACAGCAGCAAAAATTTCATTTGTAAAAATTCTACAGCCATTGAGGTGACCCAAGCTGAAGTCAGTCACCCATTTGAGTCGAGTGGCTATTAGCCTATCAAATTACGCTTCTCTGATCACGTGACACCTGTGAGGCGACTTGATAAGAGTGACGATCACAGACATCATATAGGTAGACACCCGTGGACTGGCACTGCCTGGAGCTGCCGTAGTGGCTGGCTGCCATCTTGGATGGGTTTCTATTCGCCTCCAGTGCATTTATTTTGACTAAGGAAGGTGTTTACCCAACTAAAAAATACATTTTATGGTGATTTTTCACAAAATCAGACATTTGGTATGGCATGAAAGTTGAAATATAAATATAATTACATAAAATAGATAAAAAAAATAAAATCCTAACAGGTAGGCTAGAAAAGTTCCAGTAAAGTCCCAACTCCCAAGTGATCTATTTTGTGTGCCAGCTGTTGCAACCGTAGGCTGCACAAAAAATGGGCATAGTTGACTCCAGTGCCACTTACACACTAGCATTGGCTCCACTCCACTCCGCCCGCCCCAACCTGGCTAAGTTCGTTCCACACTGCCTAAGGCATGCGGACGTGACTGAGAACACGGGTGGTCTGTAATGTCATGAGCGCATCTCTGAGCATGTGGGCGGCGCAAAGGTGCGGAGAAGTCTGCTGTGTCTCCATTAATAAATGAAAGCGGCCTAAGCAGTCTTGCTTTTGGAGACTCTCACTCTGATTTTGCATCCTGCTTTGCAGTGTCTGGCAGCACTGTGTTACGATCCCTGGTTTCATGCCTCTAGAAAAGTCTCTGTACTTCGTTTTGTTTTTGTCTGAGTGTACAGCCCAGCTCTCCATATTCTTCAGCCTGCAGCCCAGGGGATTCAATTGGCTTTGTTCCTGGTTCCACCGCCCATCACCTGGGATCAGCTGGGAATCATCCAGCAATCAGCTGCTGGGTGGCTTATAAGAGACTTCCTGATCTACCTGCAGTTTGGGAGCAGCTGGTGGTGTGCTGTTTCCCCCACTTGGTCAGCGGTGTTGGAACTTTGTGCTGTGAAACTACTGTGGAGGATTACTAGTGAGATATTGTTGTTTAGAAGCTTGGTTAGACCTAAAGGTGGTTTGTGTAGAGTTAAAGCTCCTCTGGTTAGATTTAGGGATAGTAAATGCTATTGGCCTCTTTCAGTTGAAGTCCTTCTGAGCCTGTGTTTTTTTTGTCTGGTATATTCACAGCTATGAGAGCTTTAAGTTAGTATTGTGAATGCCCTGTTTGTTTGGTAAGGTTTTTTTTCTGTTAGTAATTATCTGTAAATTGTAAGTATATTTACCTGCTGTTTCTTTATTAAATGCATGTACTCCTCCCATTCCATCTGGTCACAGGTTTGTTGCCTCCTTACCTTCCTAGCATAGCCAGGACGTAACACACTGTGTGTGTGTGTGTGTGTGTGTGTGTGTGTGTGTGTGTGTGTGTGTGTGTGTGTGTGTGTGTTTCCTCACAACAGTGAGGGACAAGGGAAAACGGCTTCAATCAGAGGCTCGTCAACTCCACAGTATCCAGAAAGATAATGAATCGTGCATGCAGGAAGCCCCCACGGGCTGATTCTATCTGCCAATCTGAGGCTGCCCCTAATGGTACGCATGATTTTGAGCCAACCAGTCAGCAGTAGGTGTGTCGGACCAGTTCAGTTCAGACTGCCTCGGGAAGAGGGCTGAAAATACGTCCTGTTGTGTGTGAGAAAATCCAAGGCACGAGAACACTCCAACCCCGGTCCAGGCGGAGTGGAGCTGATGCTAGTAAAAAATAAATAAATAAAAAGGCTGGGGGAAAAAATATCTGACTTGGACAAAATCATTAACGGCAGATCAAACCCCAAAAACCAGAATTAAAAGTGTTTTCACATAATATGATGGATATCAGACTGTTATAGACCAAGAACTTTAAAATAAATCTGACTCATTAACAGACCTTCTGCTGTCTTGTTATTTTATTATTTTACAACCTATCACCCATATTCCATTGTAAAAAAAAAAAAAAAAAAAACTTGAAGCACAGCCAGATCTTTAACTGCTAGAGTACCTCCTTTAACTTTGGTGACACATTTGAAACAGAACATTTTGCTCCAGATAAGAAAACGCAGAACATCATGAGGATAATAATTGAGAAAGTAAACGCTTTTTTAAAAATCAAAATCACCAAACTTTATTTTGACTGAGATTACATGAAGGGAAATCTAAATGTATAAAAAACAGTTCTGTTTTTGTAAAAGAAGTCTCCAAATGATGATTATTCAGAAATCCTCAAGGATATCCCATTTACTCAATAACTATGCCCTTTTTGGTAACAAATCTGACTTGGAAAAGGAAGTAATGATGGTTTATTTTCTCAGTGAGTCATCCGATAGGAAAAACACAGCGTCATGACTCACTTTCCAGCTCTGTGTGGGAGCTGCTGAGGTCAAACTTTTTTCCTGTGTAACGCTCTGTCTCACTGGAAGGAGAAAATGTCATGTCTGCTTACCCAACCTCGACAACACATTTGTCAAAGCAGTGTGTATACCAGGGCTATTCAATTCCAGGCCTGGAGAGCCAGTTTCCAGCACGTTTTTCTTTTAACTCTGTTTCAACACACCTGATTTCAGTCAGCAGGTAATTAACAGGCTTCTGCAGAGCCTGATGAGCTGCTGCACAGGTGATCCAACCAACCAATCAAGTCTGTTTGTGCAGAGAAACCCCTATAATATACTGGATACCGACTCTCCAGGACCAAATTGAATAGCTTTGGTGTATACATTCCTTAGCAACTGAATTCACATATATTTGGAATTTTATCAATTTCCAGACATTTTGTTTATTTGCTTCCATGGGAAACCTATAAATATACTGTTTGTTATAACTTTTTCTTTAGAAAATGCTCAACTCCAGATTTTCTTTTCTCCGTCTGAAGTCAAAGACCAGTTTGCTGGGACATTAATAAACAAAGCTACTGGTGCATTTTCAGTAAACAAATGGCCACTGAGTGCATGAGTAGTTTTATTTACTTAACTGGAACCTTTTGGTGAATGTTTTCCAATGTAAATCAGACTGAGTTGAAACTACTCATTAGCAGTCGTGGCCAAAAAAGTTGTAAACCCAAATTTGACCAAAACAGTGACATTCTCAATCAACTAACTTAACAAATAAAAGTACTTATTATTTTATTCATTGAATTTCACTGTAGTTTTAAAGTTGTTAAACTGGTCAAGGGGTAATCCTACTATCAATTCAATTAGCTGTGGATAGGGATGTCCCATTCCGATATCGATATCGGAAGTAATTCGACATCGGCCCAAAAACAGTGTATCGGATTATATTGGACGGCATCAAAAATCTCTGATATAAGCAGTTTGTTAAGGTTCACATTTTTGCAACCAATGGTTAAGAATTTTTTTTCTTTTTTTCATACTTACTGTTATTGACTCTTCTTCTCTGATTGAGTAATATCACTTGAGCAAGCCTTTCATACATTCCACACTAGGAAATGGGTAAAAGTATGTATGATTTGTGCTGATATCGTATCAGATTGACATCGATATTGGTCAATACTGAAGGCTGCAATATCGGTATCGTATCGGAAGTGAAAAAGTTGTATCGGGACATCCCTAGCTGTGGATCAATTGTGCTGCCACAGCACCATCTAGCGGACAAACTTTTGGTTTTGTGCGTTGAGTTTAGTATCATCTCTATTGTTATCGAAGTATACTGCTCTATATTTCGTGATTTGACTCAAGCCGTAATACCCAGCCTTACGCGTTGTTTCCACTAATAACACCAGCCCATATGTGTTTCACCATGTTGTGGAGTTGCTAATAATTAGCTTCTACTAGCTGAGACATGGTCTGCTCCTCTCCTGGCTGCAAAATCAATACAGTTTTCCACCGTCGCAAGGCAAGGCCATGAATGCTAATCTTCCCTTAGAAACTGTTCACGTTCAGCTTACATATGCAACTCAAAGTGGCCGATCGTAAATTTTGTAAGTATTACACAGTTTCTCAGTGAAGATTTGCAGCCGTTTTCTACGGCTGAAGGCGCTGGGTTTCGGTACACGATGCAAACTTTTGATTAACATTACATGCTGCCCTCCCGCCAACATTTCACCACCAAAATAATGCCTGGCCTTTATGACACAGCGCGCAAATGTATTGATGATGACTTGGCTGAAACACAAAATCTCGTGCTGACCACTGACAGCTGGATATCCAGGGCAACAGTTACCTCATTGTTACAGTGCACTATATCTGGGGCAGGGAAATGAAGAGTGCTGTACTGCAAACCCGCCCCCTGTATGAAAGCCACACACACGCACACTTGGCAGATGAACTGAGGAATGCAGTGACAGAATGCCATTCGTGAGGCGGCTGGGCTCGGACCACAGATACAGTAGGCTGCTTCACACATGTTGTAAGTCTAGCAGCTAAGAAGGCAGTGCCAATGAACAATGTGCCCCACCTCGTTGGGAAGATTAGAAAAGTTGTGAGTTTTTTTTCTCACAAAAGCACCATGGTCCACCATGTGCTGACTGTAAAAACAAAGAAGTTAAAATTGCCAAATTACAAGTTGATCCATGATGTGACAACTATATGGAATACATGACATGTTGAACAGCAGCCTGCCATTTACTCCTGAAGTCCATCAACAAGAACATGGCACTGTGTTGAGTGGTGATGAGCAGAGACTGGCAGATCAACTCATTAAACTCTTCAAACCACTGAAAACAGTGACAACTCTGATGAGCAGTGAAACCACTCCCACCTCATCCATGATTCGTCCCCTGAAGGAGCTGATCCATGGAACTGGAGGAAGAAGATAGTCCAACTGTCAAAAAGGCCAAAGCTGCAATCGCACTAGAAGAGGTACACAGACCCTGAGCTTCAAAAATAACTTCAAAAAGCAGCAGCCTTAGATCCCAGGTTCAAAAACCTCCCAGGTCAGGATTGTCAAGGATCTCACCAAAGAAGTCCAGGAGCAAGACCCACAGTTACACTTGGATGTTTTGTGTGGATTTATTTCACATACACAAATAATTGTGTATCAAGTAAATATAGATTTCACAGTTGTCAAAAAGATGAAAAAACTTTCAATGTTTAGTATTATGTGTTCAATTTAAGATTGCAAAAACAAAGTGCATTTAGATGCTGTTATCTTAAACATCTCTTACTTTTCTTCTGGCAGATTGAAGAAGTAACAACAACTGGACCATCCCAGGAGGAAGATGCACCCCCCTTCCCAAGAAGAGAGCTATGGTAGAGCTTTTTCAGGAGTTTTTTAAGACTAAGAAGCCCTTTTCTGTCATATACTGTGATTACATGCAGCCAATAACCCGTCCAAACAAAACCCGATTATTTGTTCTCACTACACTACACTGACACTAGTCAGTGACTTGATGCAATTTGCTGGGTTCCTTATATAGGAAACACTTTTTCTGATTGGCTTAATGAACTGACCTGGATTGGAATGTTTATTACGTGAAGTGCCTTGAGACGACTTGTCGTGATTTGGCGCTATATAAATAAAATTGAATTGAATTGAATTTGCAATAACCCATTTTCACAAGGCTGTGTAAACACCAGTAAGCTAGCCTCACTTTAAAGGAATAAATAGATTGTGCTTTACAAGATAGCACTTAACAATTTTGTGTTTATTCTGTGTTCTCCATTGGACCATTTTTTTAAACATTTGAAGGATGTTTAAAGTTTTAAAGTACTGTAGTGTATACAGTATTAAAGAGGCACTTTATAATATTTAACGTTAAAGTTAAAGTCCCATTAGTTGTCACACACACTGATGTGTGTGCGAAATTTGTTCTCCGCATTTGACCCATCCCCTGGGGGAGCGGTGAGCTGCAGCTGTGGCCGCGCTCGGGAACCATTTGGTGGTTTAACCCCCCAATCCAACCCCTTAATGCTGAGTGTCAAGCAGGGAGGCATTGGGTCCCATTTTTTCAAAGTCTTTGGTATGTTTACCAGTATATTGCAAAAGCACTTTAAAAGTGACATTTCTGTTTGTCTGAGAATTTATATTTTCGAGTGAACACATTTTTGGGGGGAAATTTCAGACTTTCTTAAGCTTTTCTATGATCCAAAGTGGACCGAAACAGTGACCCAAAAACCGAGGTAGGGACCGGACCTTGGTCAAAGTGGACCGATGCATACCTAGCTTACTGTATCACAGTTACAACATTTTACCTTAATGACAGTAAAGAGTGAGTTTTGAGTTTATTGTGGGGTTGCTGTGTCACGTCCTTAAGTCTTGCAGCAGTGGCTTACAGCGGTGCTTTGTCATAACGTAGTCCCAAATCTAAATGAGCTCCTTTATGTTAGTCGATGTGATTATTGAGGTCACCAAGAAAAATAAGGATCGTTATTGATGTAGCGGAAATCCACATTTTATATCCTCAGATTAACTTTGTTTGGATTCACACGAAGGAGAACATAACTATTTCCACAAAGTTTTTCCTCTCACATTTAGCAGAAGAAAAACAAAAAGGGGAATTTGAGACTGGCCTACAGTTTCAGCATTCTGGTTACCTCCTACTCTCTCCCAGGATTGTAAATTGCACCAATTTGACTGGCCCCACTTCTGCACCAATCAGGAGGCACAAGAAATATCAGAAACCGGCCTGTTTTACATCAACTCTCAAACTGACCCTTTTCCCAAGATGGGGGAAGTCGTAAAGCTTCCCTTAATGTCCTCTGGGGAGCTTCATGACTTGAGTCTTTATAAACCTTGCATTCCTGTTTATCTACGATCAAAGAAGGTGTTTAGGTTGTTTACCCTTACAATAGAAATCAAGGTGCTCTAAGTTTAAAATCTTATCAGTCACAAACCTAAACTGTTTGTTTTGTGTTTTCTTTTATGTTAAACCTCTGTCAATTTGTGTTTCTCCAGTTAAAACTCATGCTAATGGTAAAACTGTCTAGTTTTAAGACATAAATTTAGTTCTTCTCTGTTTAAAATGATACTTTGACCCCCTTCTGGAATAACTTTGGTAAATTGTAATCATAAATCTGTCATTGTTGGAAAGGCAGAGATTATGTGAAAGAGCCACAGTGCCATCAAGTGGTTAAGGAGTGAAATACATGTGGGTGTGACAAAAAGAAAGTTTATAAAACCAGAAGTTCAGACTTCATGGTAGCAGAACAAAGAAGAAAGACGCGTTACGCGAACCTGTGCTGGGATTTTCCATCTTGGCCCAGCAAAAGATAATCGACGCTCATAAAAGTTGTTAAGCCATTAGCTCTCAAAAGTTACAGTAAACTCAGAGTTCCGTTTTGCTTTGTTTTGAATTTCTATGTGAAACCGGAAGTCGGCGCGGTCCGGTCGAGTCCTCGCATTAAGAGTTAAACCCAATTTGGAACAGATTCTCTGATTCGATCTCGTTTGGATAATTCGGACTCATGATCTAAATTCCACGTTTGGTGCAGCTGGAGGAACTGAAAGGTCAAGCCATGATCGAGAACGGCCACATGCTCCCTTCCATGACCAACGTTGACCGACCAGGGAGCCAGCACCATTTAATCCAAAAAGGCCTCGGCACGAGCCAGGACCCCAGACTGTTGCAGCCGCTGGCTACCCTTCCGGCGACGGAAAGCAGGTCTGTGAAAACATTTCCAACTGGTTGATCTTTTCTGCTATAAGCCGATTCATGAATTCAGATTATTACATTTCCTTTATGGCGGGTTTTATTTCGATCCAAAATTCACGTTTAGCTCTGAAGAATTATCCTCTTTTCTCTGCTACCACACACACACACATGCCAACTCTCGTTGCATCCACTCAACCACCTGAACACACCCCCCCTCTTGCATTCCTACACACACACACACACACACACACACACACACACACACACACACACACACACACACACACACACACACACACACACACACACACACACACACACACACACACACACTTTGCTCCCTGTAGAAATTATTCCCCATTTTCCAAATAAACTTGGTGTCACAAAATTTCCACTTTATTACAGATCAGTATTTCATATCACTGCCATAAAGCTTTGGGTTAACAGTTGTCTTAATTCCATGCATGAAACGATAAGCTGTGTTTGGTCCTTTTTGTCCATGCCTTAACTGATGACACAAAAGTAAATAACGTCTGATCATTGTCTAACAATTCTCGAGAATAATCGGCGCATTCTGTCAAGAATTCATCCTTTAGATCAATTTGTGGTGTTAACTCTGAGACTGATTACACTGCAAAAATATAGATATTATATCCAATGGTCCAGGTCCGAAAACTGGTGGTGCCCCGATTAATTAATATAAGATTAAAAACAAGCTAAATCTATGCCACATTTGAAATATAGATATAAATCTATATTTATCGCTACAATGAGTAATTTATATGACTTTTTATCAAGAAATGCTACCTGTTACCATGCACTTACATTGTTTATGCTAAGCTAAAGCTAACAGATTACTGCCAGATTAGGAGAAAGACTGGGCTGGTTATGAAACATTTTATCCTATTTATCTAACTCAGGGGAATATTGTCTGAATATTGTCAGACAATATTTGAATATACCTTTACCTTGGGGTTAATATCAATCTACGACGGTAGCACAGGAGTTAAGTGCCCGCCCTGTAATCGGAAGGTTGCAGGTTCGAGGTTGTTGCTGTGGTTGTGTCCTTGGGCTGGTGGTGTTTGGAGGGACTGGAGCAGCCTGTGTACGGCAGACTCGCCTCTGTCAGTGGGTCCCGGGGCGGCTGTGGCTACAATGTAGCTCATCACCATTAGGGTGTAAATGACTGATTGTGTTGTAAAGCACCCTGGGGGGTTCTAGGACTCTAGAAGTTGTTATATCAAATACAGGCCCTCTACCATCTAACCATGTACACTGTAAGCGTTCTAAAAAACCTCAGATTATCTGTCTCTAATGTTACCTCGCAGGTCCTGTTGTGCTCCAGCCGGAGTCCTAGGCCTTCTCCATTCGGTAGGGAGTTGCGTCTTTTGGCAGTAGGGGTCTTGCTGGGCGTGGAGGGGGGGCAGTAGCTCATTGGTCTCCTTCGAGCCACCACCACCTCACAGCAGGCTTGGTCCTCATTCAGGGCACTCTTACCAGCATTGATCACCCTGAAAAATGGAGTCAAGAATTTAGGTCGTGTCTCAAGATTCAAATAGGTCAAACAACTGACTTAGAGGAACTCTGAATGTTTTAAATATATATATATATATATATATATATATATATTTCATTTCATGCTGACTTTAAGGCTCACCAAAAAAGTTGCTGCAATTCCTTAGAGCCAAGACATACAAATTATGTCGTTACCCCAACATTTCATAACATGACTAAATTGTCGCTTCGATGAATGATCTCAAAGGTTAACTCACTTGTTAATTAACAGCTAAAACTGCTTCGTGTAATTGGGGTGACAATGAAGGGCGAAAACACTGAGAGTGGTCTGTCTGACAGACATATCTGGAGGCTGTTTTCGAGTGCGATTGTGTGAAATTGGCAGGTCTATTTATAGATGCAAACGGGTTGTTTTCTGCTCAGCGGCGTCTGGTCCTCAAGCGTCAAACGTCTGACAACCAAAACACAACAAGATGTACAAAAGCAACAAACAACTGGGTCATGGAAATCCACGTGATGTGAGACATTTATGAAGTTTTTGGTTTATGCATGCTCCAATTTTTATTTTTTACAAAAACTAATAAAAAATATATTTATCTATCTAAGGGAGCAGTTCTCAAACTTTTATACCAACCACATATGAACGTGACAGCAGTTTTAATTCTTCACATTTGTCAAATTAAAATTCTCATTCACAGCCGATCATCTGTCTCCACTTAGTCCTATCTTCTGCATTCCCTATCCTCACACCAACTAACTTCATGCCCTCTCTCACCACATTCATTAATCTACCTACCTGCTGGTCTGCCTCTCAGCTTCCTGCATGGTGGCTCCAACCTCAGCATCCTTCAACAGATGTAATCATCGTCTCTCCTATGGACATGTCCAAACCACCTCAGTCTGTCCTCTCTGACCTCATCTCCCAAACATCTAACAGGAGCAGTTCCTCTGATGGACTCATTCCTGATCCTCGTCAGTCCCAAAGAGAACCTCAACATCTTGAGCTCTGCAGCCTCCAGTTCTGCCACCTGTTAGTAAATCTGAGCAGTTTCTGCCAATCCCCGTGATCCCTGGTGTCACAGTCTGCACAAATATAGTTCCATGTTTTCAACAATAAGTGATTAATTCTAGCAAAAACAACAAAACCTAAAAGCTGGCCTTACCACACCTATTCTGAATGCTCACAGGTAATACAATTTTGACATTTGAACAAAATAGTTATTACTACATATTTTCCCATTATAATCTTTGATTAAAGGACGTAGGCCTTATATTTAAATCAATGGTCAACAACAAATGGAAGCTCTTTTTAGGGTATTTATTCAAAATGTACTCCTATATACAAAATGTATATATATATATACACAAAATGCATCCTTGTCTGCTCTTTGGTAGGTTACTGCTTCTCACCTTTTTTTTTATTGTACTTTAATGTTTTTATTTATGTATTTATTGTTAAATAGGTCACTCATGATAATAAAACGGCTAAAATTTAAAGCATTACACAGAAATCGAACAATTCTCCATGCAGAAGCTCCTCCTGCTTCATTTGACCTGCTGTAAACAAACAGTAATCTGATCATCTGTGTGTGAGTGTGTGTGTGGTACAGGCCAGGAGATATTATGTTCAGAAATACAAAGGTAGACAAAAAAAAGCAAATAACCAGAAGTCAAAGTCGACATGTACATCTGAACCATGACCAGATCAATCCTCCTCCATGAACACATGACTCGGTTTTTCTACTAAGAGCCGCATCTGCTGCTTTTGTTTTCATTCGATTGGAAGCTCTCCGACGACTCATTTGTCTTCATTTCACCATTTGCGGGAATAAGAACATCATTTTCCTTCCAATCAAATCTTTGTTTCATTCACAACAGTTCACTTCCTGCTCATCAGGAGCCAAATCTCATTTCCTGGCTCTTGTCAAAAATCTGATGATGGTTTTGTTTCTTTGTGAATTCTGAGCCAAATGGCAGCATCAAGGATTTGTCCAATCACAGTTAACTGTTACAATTTTAAATGATGTTTTGATGATAATGAATTTAGATCCTGACATGAACTGTTCCGTAAAAGGGGACCTAGGATAATCTGTGTGCCTGTGAGAGAAACTAATATTAATAATTATTTTAAACAATTACACATCGAGTTGGGAAACGCTACAGTCATTTATCTTCTGCAGCTAAAAACACAAAAATGTTGGGGTGCAAAGTGTGAGAGTCAAGATAAGCTTGCAAAAAACAGAAGTGGTTGCAGAATCCTACATTTGTTTTCAAAGGGCCAAACATTTCACACAAAGCTGAAAATCTTGAAAAAAGTGTTAAATACTGTATATTATCAATACTAAAAAAATCATGGAAGGATTGTCGGGGATGAAATAAAAGTTTTGATTAATGCACGGCTCTTATAGCTCTTATAGAAAAAAAATGCAGAGTGAAAGCTGAATCCACATTCAGACTTACCATCAAAATCAAAAGATAGATTTGATTTATTTCTCCTTTTCATCAACTTGAGTTGATAGATGTAGCAGCAGTTGTCTCATGTTTCACCTGTTGCAGCAACAGGAGTATACCATCTTACTAGCCTAGAAATCTAGACAGACAGTAGCAGAAGTAAAATGATTTTGTCCTGCATGTTGGTCAAACCACGCTCGGCTGGAACGTCTGCAGACTCGACCGGTCTGGTGGCTTGCCAACCACAGCACTCTTGTTAGTTTGGGGGGCCAATCACAGCGGTTTGGTGGGCGGGGTGTTATTGCAACCAAGTGAAACTTATTATGGCAATAGCTCGTTTGAAATAGAGATCGACCGATTTATCAGTTGGCTGATTAATCGTGCCAATATTTAACATTCATTCATCATTGGCTGATAAGCCTCTTAAGTAGAGCCGATTTAAAGTCAGGCACCTCTGCGGGCATGAAATTGGCCCCAAAAAATTGGCAGCACTTATCGACCATCGGCTGACCACAACTTCCTCACATCGGTATCGTCAATAGAAAAACCAATATCGGTCGACCTCTGGTTTGAAATGACTTTGGCATCAAATTGTGGGAGTTAGTTTCATTAGATAGTAGTAAATATGATTGTAAATCCTACATCTGAAGGTTGGTGTCATGACAATGCAGGAGACCTTAATTACAGATAAACGCTGATCCGAGCAAAACTCATTACCCTCAACAATCCACTTGAGATGCTTCATCATTGCTTAGAGCATCATTGTGCAATTAACATTCAAATTAAAAATAGAGACTGAGATGTTCACAGACCACAAGAAAAGAGATATGTGTCTAAACGGTATTTTACTTATTAAGAGTAGATATAGTGTAGTATATATAGAGAATTCTTCCATTACAAGTCATTTAATAATTACTTTCACTTAAAAGGTATTCAATGACCCTTAGAGTTTATGCACTAAGAGTTGGCAGGGAGTTACTTTATAGAATCTCATTAGGACACTAGTAAGTGTTCTTCAAGGACAATTAAAAAATATGGTCTCTGACAGTGTTTTGTGGAGCAGTGCATGAACACATTCATCTGCTGTTCATAAAGTGTCATCACTGTAATCAATGGCAAAGATGGTCCACTCACTGATATACCGTGGTGCTGATGATGATAGCAAAATACTGAATACATTTTATACATCAAGTGTCTCTCCAAGTATCAACTATAAATTTTAATGGCAAACTTTCACCAATCCATATCCACTAGGCTTTTAGCTTCTCCTAGTTGCTTCTAAAGCGCCATAGCTCACTAAGCCTCTCAGTAGTGTTGTCAAAAAAATCGATACCTAGATATAAATCGATGCTAAAAGTGGTATCTAAATTAGATATTCCATCCCTGTGGTATCGATATTATGGACTATTATACACAGCCTTCTTCAAGTACACCGACACGCACGACAGCCAGATGCCGTAAAGCAGCCTCCGCCTCCCAGACAAACAGAAGAAGAAGACGCCGCATGGCTACATTGCAATTTCCCACGCGAGTTGTCTCCGATCCAAGTTTTGTCTGCCAAATAAATAAACAAAAACATAAACAGCGAATTTGGGAGGCGTTTCACAGCCCAACTTAATTAGCATACCAAGTCCGACACATAGTTGTATATTCACGCTTATGTGCTTAAAGGAAACTCCTGTTTATTGCAACCCGGACTTAATTTCTAGCATGCAGTACGTTTGTTTACTCACGCTGACAACTTTGGTGCTACTTGGATTCCCCGGGGTATTTAGATCCATCGGCGAATCGCCATCAGTGTATATCCATATAACGGGTGCGGATGGGCACCCATGGTGCAGCCTCGAAATAAGACATTATCTGCACCAAAAAATCTCAATGTCGAAAGGTTTTGTTAGGAATCATTAACGTGATTCCCCTGTTCGTTTGCAGCGAGTCTGGGATTTCTAGGCGTAAACAGACTAGCCGTGGCTAATCTAACCAGCGCTTTTAATGACGTCACTGCCGTGCGCCAATCTGTTTTTATTAAGATTACCGGCAGATGTACCTTTGTCCTACTGTGGAGAAATTCATTTTCTCCCTTTATTGACCAACAGAGTTGTTCAAAAGTACAGAACAAAACATATGGCATTACATCTTATGACAAAAATGCACCTTAAGCAGAGTTTAAGCAGCAAAACATCACTCTGCAAATAGTGTATATATAGTGAGACAATTCATCATTTAAAGTGTTAACTTTCGCCAGTTTTTGTATGCACGTTCTAAAAAAATGCTGATACTTGAAAGGTTTAAGCACTTTATACACTTAATTCTTAACATTTAATTTTTGCAATATAAATTGAGGAATGTTATTTTTTGAATACACTTGTTCAGTAAATTGGTGTTTTTAAATAGTGTTGAAATCGAGTATCGAGTTTTTTTTCCACTATCGAATCGAGTTTGAAATTTTAGTATCGTGACAACCCTACCTCTCAGTGGGAAAAATTCGAGAAACTCCTCCATCCCATCTGAACAACTTTTCTGCAGGAAACGTTTTTTATCAGGATAAATATTTATCAAGAAAAATTATTGTTTAGAAAGCATTCAGTGACTGCAAATGAATAGAGGACTCGTGCCTTAAGAAAAGCAGTGCTCCATCATATGAGTGGTTTGGATTGTGTCAAAAGAAGCCCTGGAGTAAATGTGTATCAACTACGATTGGATACTTTTGGACTGTGACAACTAGTAAATATGGGGCCTATTGCTAAAACATTCTTCAGTTTTCTAATTGAGCTGTGTGTAAAATATTTGAGAAAGCAACTATAACAATATGCAACAATGCAAATCACAAATGTATCATCGCTGCACTATCCATGTGCAGAGTATAACTACAAGGACAGCAGTAGCTCAGGAGGCAGAGCGGGTTGTCCAGTGATCAGAAGGTTGGGACATTGAGTGCGTTTACATGCAGCCAGTAACCCTTTAAAAACCCGAATATTCACAATAACCCGGTTCCGCACGGCATATAAACACCGCCAAAAACCCGGATATGCTCATAACCGGGTTACTACACCTGGGGTAACCCTTTTCTAACCCGAATGTTTGGTCATGTAAACGCATACCGGGATATCCCCATCAAAGCGTGTGTTCTGCGCATGCTCTGTTCGCAAGGAATCTTGGTCTTTTGAGTAGCGAGACGTCTTGTATGCGCCAGAACACCGGAAGTAAACAACAAGTTGGGAGCAACATGGCGAGTCGCGGCACAGCACCACACTTTTGGAGCGACGAGGAAACCTCTGTCTTCATCGGTCTGGTGAAAAGTATGAACATTATGTCTTTTGTTGACGGTCGAAAGTACAGAGACAGCAAAATATACAAGAAGGTAACCAGAAAGTTACGGATACCGGAACAAGAAGAACCGGAAATGACGCATATTGCGTCTTGACGTAGTCCACACGTCCTGACGCTACCCCAACGTCCGTATTTAAATCGAGTTATGCAAGTTAGGGGTAACTCTTTCTATTCATGCTTGTAAACGGGTTATTCTGATCAACTCAGAAACCCGAATACCGACCTTAACCCGACCATAACCGGATATTGGCTGCATGTAAACATACTCATTCTCAGTCTGCAGCTTTTTGTCAAACTCCCAAAAGAAGAGACCCAGAAAAAGCCATGGTCAGCGATATAGAAAACTCCAGAGAAGAAAAGGAGAGGGTAGGGGGCTGCACCCCATCGCTAATTAGTGATGACTATGGCTGCTCGATGCTCCTGTCTCCTGTTAAGTTCATACAAATATCACTCTTTGGAGCTGCAGCTATTTCTCTCTGCATTCAGACCTGGTCTCTGTGCCCCTAAAATCTGCTCTTGCAGATGTTTTATATCCTCTTGGATTGAAGTGAGATGAGCCTGCCAACAGGAAGCCAAATATAATGCTGACCATCATCACAGTCTTCTTTTGGGTGCACTCTTGATCAGCGTACTCAGATGGCTCGCCCACCATTGATAGTGGAAGAAAATATTTAGGTTTTGGGGTGAGTGGGGCGCTAAATATTTTAGTGAGTCTTAGTAGAGCTATTGCCATACTTCTTGCTTTGATTACAAAGGGACCAGGCACCTTGCAATTTTAGGGTCACCCATAAACACACCATGCAAATCAGCGTTAATACTGTTGCCACTGTGGGTCTTATGAAAGTGCTGCGACAGCATGGCGATCTAGGAATTTTGTGGCATTCGTGATGCTACGGTTGGTAGTAATATTGCCGCAGCGCCAGACTTGTGAATGCATATTACATCTTGGTGCAACAGGGAGGAGTCATGATCACGTGTGGAGTTACTGCCGAGCTTCGGCTGGCTATAATATTGACAATGAAAGCAAACACGGCACTAAGTTTTAGAATCAGCTGAGATGATAAACTGGAGCGATGCAGAGCTCCAGGAGCTTCTCTTCGTTAAGAGCTGGAGCTTTGAAAACCTGGCCGTTAGCGAGGACTGTGAGTGATAGCCACCTTTAGGAACAAATTGTCAAAAACAATTTTGAGCCCAGCTTCAATCACAAACGAAGTGGAACGGAAGTCTGCGGCTGCGCAGAGACCCCCCCATTCCACTTATACTGCCATAGCGTAACCTCTTGTAAAAAAGACATGATTGCGCCACATTACTGCCACAATCTGACCACATCTAAACGACCTATGCTCCCTGATGCCGCCTCAGCGAGACAAATTGGCGGCAGTTTTCTAAAAGAGGCGTAGTTTATGTGGTGGTGGCTGATGCGCTAAAGCCATGGAGTGATTTGTGAGAAGCACAACAATAAATCAGGAGAGGAGAAAGGAAATTTGGATTTATCTACTGATATAATAATCACAATGTATTTACCTAGCACCATGCAGCCATAATGGCCCTAAATATCATTATAGAGAACCAAATTACTCATACCACCCAGGCCTGAGCTCGGGGAAAACTGCTGCTCATGCATTTCTGCAGTAGATTCAGCAGGAATGGCTGTGGATGGATGTAGGTCACAACAGGTGCAGCTGAATTAAGTTAATGCTCTTGTGTCAGCCTAAGAAGAAGCAAATTCTCATCTGCAGCCTCGTTCCGGCCCAACCAACACCAGGCGCATTCGTTCACTCATATAAGCAAACAAAGAGCTGCTTTTTTAAGGTCAGCAGCCGCCCGGCTACTTACTCAGCGTATCCGGTGGCCCACGGTAATCTCCTGGTTTCCTTTAAGATGAGGATGGGCCGAGCTACGTGGTCGGCGGAGCACTCGATCTCATCCGGAGACAGACCCAGAAACTCGGGTCTCATATAAGGGAATTTCAGCGGTAAATCCGAACCTGAATTCCCACCTCCTCCTCCGGAGCCGCCCCCGGTCATGATTCCGCCCATAAACCCGGCCACGGCCGATTTGACCCGGGTGAGCATGCCGCTGTTGTTGCCTCGACGCGGCGGGGTGTCCGTTGTCCGGTGCGCGGCGCCGCGGCTCCCTTTGCCCGGATTCCCCCCCAGCTCGGCCGCGTTGGCTGCTCGACGGAAGGCTTCGGTGATGGATGAGAAGCGGCGGAGGACGGGAGATGCCGCCGGGGCGTTAGGGCTTCATTGACCCGGAGCAGAAGGCATCCTGGTGGAAGCAGAAACGATGCTGCTCGCTCGCCTCCATGGAAGTCATTGATAACAGCTCGGCCGACGTGAAGGCGGAAATACACTGAAGATTAAAGGATCATGTGATGCTTGGATAAACGCTGAAAAAAAGAGGAAAAACCGTTCGCTATTTATTTTTTTCAACGAATAACTTAAAAAATAAACACTGAGCATTAAAAATAATCTCCACTTTACTTTGATTTATTTTCAAGCATATGTAGTAATTTCACAATATGATATATGAGATACTAGTTATTTTAATTATACTTTTATATGACATTTATTGCTGCTGCAAAATTAGATTTAAGTCACAGCGATGACCCGGAGGTGGGCCTGTGAACATGTGAGCAGCAGCAGCTTTAAGCTCCTGACAGCAGGTTAAAGGTAAATCTGGCTATAATGTCAGACTGCAGAGATCTGAGAGGAAGCTCACTGTGGGGGAGGGGAACTCTTATTATTAGGCCACCTAATAGTTAAGTTAATTTAGTTGTGTGAGCATTAACGGTAATGACAACTGTCTGCAATTACATCAGTATTTTATTTGTCAAAGTTCAGACAAAATGAAAACGTTTTGATGTTTGAACAAATGTAAAGCAACCAAAGGTAAAAAGAAATGTTAAAGCTGCTAACAGTGGCTCATCAGGGCTACTGTGGTAACCACCAACAAGCTATTAAGGCTGCTAAGGCGAATTAGCAAGCAGGTTTTGAACACTTACAGATGTGTGTGTGTGTGTGTGTGTGTGTGTGTGTGTGTGTGTGTGTGTGTGTGAGAGAGAGAGAGCTTGTGTCTGCTCTGTCTTCTCGATCCGCAGTGAGTTGTGGCGGATGACTGCTTATACTGAGCCAGGATCCTCTGGAGGTTTCTTCCTGTTGAAAGGGAGTTTTCCTCTCCACAGTCACTAAATGTTTGCTTAGTATGAGGATTGCAGTAGACTCTGACACTGGTCAGTGACTCGATGCATTCTGCTGGGTTCCTTATATAGGAAACTTTTTACTGATTGGCTTAATGAACTGTACTGGAATGTTTACTATGTGAAGTGCCTTGAGACGACTCGATCTTGTCGTGATTCGGTGCTACTTAAATAAACTGAATTGAACTGAAAATTGAATGAAAACACGGTCATGGAACACTCATCCCTCCTCTTAGATTTCTTCCCTGGAGCCGTGTCCACTGGAACGGAAAACCCCACATTGTTTTCCAGGTTCAAACGTCTTTTGTTGTCCATGACTTCAAATGGTGTTTTTTCTTTCTGGTAGTTTATCCTAAAGGTGAAATGGTAGCAGCCGGCTGTTTCTCCTTCTCTGATATAGTTGAGCCGTGAACTTCTCACACCAGCAGTGCTCTGTAGCTAAATGTGCAAGTGCATAATGAGTGGAGGACCCAGGGAAGCGTGGACAAGCTGCGGTTCAGTAGTTCTAATAGTTGCTTTCGGTCTGAAATGTGTTAATGGTGAAGGATTTTAGACAAATGCGAGAGAACTACTTAATTATCATATTTTTTTTTTATCTCCACAATATATTCATAACCATACTATGTTAGAATGTTAAGAGGCATGAAAAACAATTTAATGCAAATTTGTTTTCTAAATTTCCTATTTAGGGCAACTACTTCTAACTTATGGCAAGCAGAAACACAGCTTCAAATGTAAGACTCAAACAACAGATTCAAAAACATTCTCAGTTTCTCATAAACAACGAAGACGGCATCTGAAGCGGAGTTCGCTGCGGCTCTTTCCTCTCAGGTTATTCACATCCAGCTCGAACGATAAAACCAAATCTAAGTTATGGGAGCCGCCAAGGTTGGGGACAGTCACCAGCAGCTGTAGTCCAAAAGAGTCCAAAGCATTAATAAAATCCCTCACCAGTGGTTTCAGAGGGCAACAAACGTGAATATCAAAATCAGCCAGAATAACCCCTGGTCACATTTTGAGAGCAGATCAGCTAGAAGATCTGAAAGTTCATTTATAAAAACCTTGTTGTATTTGGGTGGCCTGTAGCAGAGTACAACAAGGATGGGAGAAGAAAACCCCAGCTCAGAAATTGAGACCTCAAGACTGGCAGCCTAGCAAGGGGTTTGGGGGAGAATAGAACAGTACAGGGACAACAGTGGCTGCCTGGTGGGGTCTGGGTCTCTGGGCTCTGTCAGGTCTCCGTCGAGGTTGGGCCCCCTTGGGTTCCGGGCCACTCAGCCTGCCCTGGGGTGGGCAGCTGCAGACGGGCCTGGGGGCTTGCTGTTATCTCCTGGGCCTCTGGCACAGCTGCTGGTTTCCCCCAGCTGGCCAAGTGGAGCCTGGCAATCAACCTGAGTCTCAACACCACAGGGTCATTTCCATAGCTGCCATCAAGAAGCCACAGCAGTGTCTGCACTTCTTGAGAGCGCTCAGCAAGAACATCTACCAGACGGAGTTGACAGCCTACTAATCAACAATATAAGCATACACCTTCTCAGTGTGATTCTCCACCTGCATTCTGGACCCGGAGAGATTGCACAAAAGGTTGTGGGCTATGTCCACACGGGAGATGTGTTCATCACATTTGTGAAGGGATGGACTGTGATAAAAGTGTCAGAACAGACCAGAGTAATATCCAGCCAGACAAAGCCTACGTTTAATGATTTTGGAAATATTTAGCTAAATCTTCAACTTATGGCTGATAACAATATTCTAATTTATTTGCAAAAAAACTCCAGCCTGGCCTGCCAGACTCGTCCTCTGTTTAATTCTATCCAGATAACTAGTTTGGTTACTCTCAGGCAGAGAGGCACATGAGGCGCCAGCTCAAAAATAACCAACTACAAAATAACCATCAGAAAAAAGGCAGAAATGCCGACTGTACCGCGCCACGCAGTCATTTTTTTTAGCTGTAGTCAAAAATGGCGTCTGACGATGGTGCAAACAAACATCTTTCTTTAGAAGACAGGCTTTTAGCGCTTCTTCTTGTTGTGGTTTTAAAGACATGCCCAAGACATAGACTCTGTGGGATTTTCTGATAATGCTGAGATTACCTTTACCATCTCACCTCTCCTTCCTCCACATTTGGAGGCAGGCTGCCCGTTACTCTAGGTGTATAACTCAAAGTACTACTTCTAACTTTCTGTCGACTCTGGATATTGATTCCCTCACTCCACCCCCTTCAGCCTCCTGTATGGATGTAGATAACCTTCTGCATCTGTTCAGTACGACCTGCCGTGCTGCCCTGGATGCTGTTGCCCCTCTCAGAGCTAGGCAGAAACAGACTATTTCAAAGCCTTGGCTAAATGATTACATCCGTAGCCTCAGGCGACGATGCAGGAGGTGGAAGAAAGACAGACTCCTGTGCACTCGCCACTTCCTGATATCAGAAATTGGTTAGATCAGCATGTAAAACCTATTTTTCCAACATCATCACACAGCACCATGGTGACCAGTCTAAGCTGTATAATACAAACACTCTTTGCTGTTGTTGTCTGAATCTGATGGCCTCATGGCTTTCTGTACAGATTTACAGAATTTTTTAAAACAAGAATTTGGATATTAGGTCTGGCCTTCAGCTTCATGGACCGGTCGTTTGTGTGGAATCACCAAGCCCACCTGACTTTGCTTCAGTTCACCTCTCGGACTTGGTGAAGTTTATTTACTCCATGAAGCCACTGGGCTCTCTCAAGGACTGCCTCCCATCTAAATTGATGTTTTAGTCAATGTCTATGCTGAGCCCCACACTCTTAAACAGTGTAAATACTAGTCTTGGCACCTGAGTATTCCCTAAGGGTTTTAAAGGTGATGTGCAGATGTTAAAAAGCCTGGTCTGGATCACTCCATTTTTGAGAATTTTCGGCCGATCGCCAAGGTACCATTCCTGTCTTGCTGGAGAAAATAGTTTATGTGTAAATTTCTGCACACATGGACACCAATTCACTCAAGATGATTTTCATTCTGCCTTTAGGCCACACCCCAGTAAAGAATCTACCCTAATTAGGTTGCTTAATGACATTCTGGTGGCATCTGATTCTGGGTCTCGGCTGCTGCTGATCCTGTTGGACCTGTCTGCTACCTTTAATACAGTTGATCATTTCATTCTGTTGAACCGGCTTGGGTCTTGGGTAGGGGTGATGGGGATTGCACTCATGCACTGGAATGGTTTTGCACATATTTATCAAATCGTTCGATTACCCCAAACTGGGACTGCACCTCAATGTGATGTGAATGTTCTCTGACCTGGGGTGTGCTGCAGGGCTCCATCCTTGTGCCACTCCTTTTTCAATATATCTCCTGCCACAGACAAAATCTTTGGCTTGCGTGGTATCAGCTATCATATTTATGCTGATGACTGCCAAATTTATGTGGCACTAAATGACAAAAACGCAGACTCTCGTCTCTCGACGTGTATGGAGGGCTGGCTAGCTGCTAATTTTTCTAAATTAAACGATCTGAGTCCATCATTTTTGATCCCTGAAATCTCTTTTGCTCCCATTCTGGCCGTGATTCTATAACTTTAAACCACAGGCAATGTGTAACGAGTCCTGGAGTGAAACTGGATGTCGACCTCAATGTTTTCTCAGATAAACTTTGTTGTGAGGTCCTGTTTTTATCAGTTACGTTGTCTGGCTCATCCTAGATCTATTTTGAAGCGAAGGCATTTGAAATCAGTTATTCACGCCTTCATTACCTCCCGTTTAGACTATGCAAATGCGCTCCTCACTGGTATTCCTAGCTCAGTATTACATCAGCTGCAGGTTGTCCAGAATGCAGCTGCTAGGTTCCTGATGAACACAAATCAACAAAGCCACATCACCCCAGTCCTTGCATGCCTTCATTGGCTCCCTGTCGTATTCCGTGTACAATTTAAGCAGCTGAATTTTGTTGTCAAAGCATTGCACAACCAAGCACCAGCATACAGTATCTGTCTGACCTGCTAACGCCTTATGCTTCCACGTGCTTGTTGAGGTTAGCAGATCACCCCCTGCTTTGCACTCCACGGATGTGTATGCTGGGTGATCTGAGTCATAATCTTAAACACACCACCTTAAATTTGCATGTCCCAACCCACTTACCCGTTGGCATTATATACATAAATGTTGGTGGCTGTAATGCTAACTGCAGAACAACACTAGCTTGAGCTACCGCTACGTGCTACTGCTAATGTCCTTGTTGGATGAGAGGAAAACAACAAAGAAAAATGAAGTAGCTCACATTAAATGTTTCAGGATGTACTGACAATATCCAAATTTTGACTGAATCTGAGATATATCCATAGGTTACCTATTTAGTAATCTGTACATGCTGTACACAGAGTTTCTAGCTTCAGGCTATCATAGAGCCATCGAGGTAAGTTAGCCAATCAGCACTCATGTGCTGGCTGAGTGGGGGTGTCATACCTATCTCTCTATTGTAGGGCTTTATAATGGGACTCTCTTTGGTTAATTTATCAGGATATAGTGAGCCCCAACATAGTTTTGTATTTCATTTAGGGGCTCAGAGAACAGGTTCCAGTTGTAAAAAAGGTGGTTCAAGGACCCCTTTAAAGTTGATGAAGAGCATCCTGTGTGATGTGGAGAGCAATGGCTACAGTGCCTTCTGTAGATCTTTTTGCTATAGGAAAACTAGAGAGGATCAAAGGAATGGGGAGGGCAGGCTTGGATGCGATGGATAAACAGCAGCTCCAAGAGCTGGTGGCGACAGGTGTAATTTTGATGGTGCAGAAACTGTTGGGGTCAGATATGAGGATTATTTTAGGGATGGACATGATTTGATTTTTAAACTATAATGCATGAAACTGTCATTACAGCTACATGTTTTTTATTTTTTTCTATTTGTTTAGATTTTAATGTAATACCAACAGTTCCCCAGTAGATGGAACAAAAACACAAAGGTGGACAGCAACAAAGTGCACCTCTACTCACAACTTCCCCAGGAAACAGATCTTAGCTGAAAAAATCAAGCTGCAAAGACTTAAAATACATAAATATTCAGGAGTAAACCAGTCTTTGACTGACCCGTACCACAGTTTCAGGTTATCTGATTTTGTTTTTGTCATGTGAGGAATGAGTAAGAAAAGATTTTCCGTGAGTGAGTCATAAGAGAAACAAACAACTATTAAACACGTGCGGCTGCATCACATCCTGATTTTACACCTAAATAAATATGTTTTAATACCAAGAGTCTGTGGGTAATTAGTTCAAATGAAACAGCATGTGGTTTTGGGTTTATTTCAGCAGTCACTTTCAGTTTCACATGCTGACCCATATTTTGTTCCAAACTGACAACATGACCTTCAGATGACCTGGAAGAATTTTTAAAGTGTGTTGTCACATCTCCTTCCCAGCATTGGAGGCTTCTGAGGTCTAAGGAATTTTCTCAGCTGTTTTGTGGTGATTCAGCCAGGGCTGCTGTTCAGATATTGAGTAATGATAGAATGGCAGGAAAGACGTCATGTTTTCATCTCAAAGGGAGTCTGATGTGGATTTATTTGGAGAAGAGGCTACAATCCCATCAGCCAATCACACAACAGTAAGCAAGAGACAATTATACTCAAAACAATGGCAACATTAAACTATTCTAGGATAACACATCATTTACAGGTTCCAGTGAATTTCAGATCTGCTACTTCATTATTCTCCATACAAAAGGAAACCAGCAGTGCAACCAGTGAAGATGAAGATGGTTTCATGAAATTAATGGGGAGTTAAATGTCAGCGGTTGATCATTTGACTGTTAAAGGAGCGTGCACAGTCGGTTCTGAAAAATGACCTTTTATAGGAAACCCAAAACTTTAACTGACTTTATTTTGCTGAAACAGAAAGTGGCCAGAAGTTGTAACATGCATTTGGATTAAATCTAATTAAGATGTTGCAATTTAAGAAAGTTAAGCAGCAGTATTGGTCGGATGCACAAGTATATCTCTGTATCTATATATTGATAAATATATGTGTTTTCATTTATATATTCAAATCAATATAATTCTGTATTTAATTATCTATATCTGCATTTGTAAATTATTATTATACATTAACTGACGGAACTATTCAGCATCTCAGACAGTTTTTGTTAAACCCACCTGTATATATATTTATTATGGAATGAGTGGAGTTGGAACTTATCCTAGAAACAAACTTCATTAGAATTGCCTAAATTGCACAATAAGTGTAGCAAATAAACACTAATATTCAGAGCAACTTGCTCAAACATTCAAACCTTGGTGCCAAAAAGGAAATAGTTGACCATAGGGCCGTGGACCATAGCCCCACCCCCCTCCTAACAAATACCTACTCTGCTTCTGCGCTGACAACCACTTTCTGTGCACTTCTCACACTCACCATCACCGCTTGTCACGCACCTTCTCCTCACCTGCCTCTGACAGAGTAAAAGACACAGAGAGAAGAGGGGCTGATCTAACGTCTGATGAAAATGATTTTCTGGTTTGCCCTGCTGGTGTCCCAAAGCACCTTGAATGGAGCTGCTGCAGAAAGCACACAGCTAGAGAGGATTGCCAGCTGCCACACCAGATGTTCTAAGGTAAAACCTCCTCCGCTCTCTTTTTGAAATAATTGCACCCCATTGTTAGCTAATTCAAGGGACTGCTATTATTTTCTGCCATCTCTAATAACTTTAGAGTGCTATATTTGGAACTTTGGTCATTTCTCTTACTGGTGAGCTCAGCTGGACTCCACACAGATGTGTGTCAGAGTAGCAAAAGAGATCAGTTTACTTTCAGTGTTGGTTTCCATTCAGCCTGGGGCTTTTGGAGGTAAAGTTGTAAAACTGTGTACACCTTTGATGCACAGAGACGTGAGAGGAGACAAAACAGCACATAAGCCTCATTGTAAAAGCCCTATTTTGATCTGCGTGACTCACTGGTGAGTCATAAAGACAGTCCTAAATGGACAAGAACTGCAAATTCTATTTTTGTGAGCTCTTTTTCAAAAGCGTACAAGAGGAAATCAAATGATTTATGCTCTCATTTAGTTCCTCTCTTTTCCACAAAGCACTTTGTTGAAAATGCTTGAAAATCTTTCGCAGTTATTTGCGGTCACTTTAAAATCTCTCATCAGTGTTTTGGAAACATTTATTGTGAGTGATAATTGCATCACTGACATATTGTGAATGACCTCATGTACTAATTGGTGCAGTAAAAAGAAGGCTGACAGGGAAACGTCAAAAACTGACATCAGCTTAAATCAGGACACTTTTAAAATCAAAAGAAGGAAGCCTCTCTTACTTTTAGCTCACTTTGTCAAAATCTCTGCAAGACAATTGATTGTTACATTTTTGTCCCTGAAACACCTTTATTTGGTCAAAATCACATCCAAACAGCAGTTTCAAAACACCTCAACCTCATATCACAAACATCTGAGTTATGTGTTAAAATAACAAATCTAGTTCCTCAGTGCCACTCAGAGCTGCACCCCTGAAAAACAAAAGCAATGACTCAACTTTGAGCTAAAGGAGAAAAGCACCACTTGTTTTGCTAAAACATATAGTAAAAGCCTGAGGGTTTTCACACACAACCCTGCTGTGGAACAAGTAAAAACATCTTCTAACACCTAGATTTTGACAAAACGTCAACCAAAAAAACTATTTAGTAAGTATAGAATGCTATTGACATGACATAAGACGAATATTTTATTGGTTTCGTTGAAGCATGATGTATTTGCATTGCTGAGAGACATGCACTGTTTGATAAGCTTGCAGCTAGAAAAATTCATGATTGCTTGCATGCAGAGTCCCATTTCATAGAGCAATGAGGATGTAAAATATTATTTCCCCCCTGTGCAGGGCAGCGACCTTTAGTCTCTTCAAGTTTTAAATCTGAACAGAGTTTTATTTCAGTATCTTTTTCTTCCTGCAGGGACTCAACTACAGAATCAAGCCAGATTGTGAGTATAAACCAAACACACTCATCCGCAGCCACACCTGAACGTGCATGATCATAATACATCAGCTATGCATGGATAATGTGTGTATTTGCAGAAACTGGAGTTTAAAGCAAACTGTACATTAATAGGAGCATCATGTAACTAAACAAAACCTAATTAAATTTGAAAGGCTTCCCACCCTGTTGTGATTTACCTGAAACCTTTAGGGTGTAACCGACCTTTAACTTGCCAAAGAAAGCTTTCTTCACAAGAAGCATACATCATTTAAGGAGACAGTGCCAAACAGGAACCATAAAAATTGAGCAACAGTAGAAAATAAGAGAAAATTTTTACAACGTCCAAGAGTTGTTTCTTTTGTCCTTTCCTGGTCAGATTGGTTTTCTCCTGGGTGTCAAATCCCCGCTGAAGGTCTCAGCTCATCTGTCTTCCAACACGTGAACATCTCCACAGTCATGAAGTGTGAAAGGAAACAGAAGTGCACTCTACATTTGAAAGTCCAAACACTTTTACTACTTTCCGGTGGGTAAATGCAATACCTTAAAATTTTACAATTTGTTGGCAAACTGAGCAACCGGTTGATTGACTGGGATGGTTTTCTGTGTGGCTAGGGCAGAGGTTTACCACTTTTGTGCCTGAAAGAGCTATTTTGTCATTATTTGAAGTTTGAGTCTCAAAACTACTTGATATTTTTCCAGCCCCGTTTGTTATGTGACATGGATTTCACATATGATGTCCGTGAATTTTAAAGACACATTCTGATGCTAAGAAAGCGCTTATTTTCAAATGGGGTAAAATTTATTCTAGGTTTTGTGTAAAAATAGGTCCAGAACTACAAATGTGCATCATCAAATTGTCATCATTGAACCAGAAATAGAGAAAAGCAGAGGGAAAATGGCTGTAAGCTCAGTGAACTTCAAACCCTTCTTTCAGGAGGAAATAACCACCATAAATCTGGCCATTTGGTAAGTAGCAGCTACGCTAGGGCAAAGGAGGTTCTGTGGTGACATCAAAAATGCAACATACTGACGTCTGATATGTAGTCATGCTAATTACAAATTTTTACAAGCTGATAAATCTCAAAGTACGTGACAGGTGTGGTCGAAACAGACATTGTAGAGCTCATTCCACTGAAACAGCTCTTCTTAGGGTCTCTAATGACCTTCTGACTACGATGTAGCCACAGCTGCACTGGGGCGCACTGACAGAGACGAGGCTGCCGAGCACTGGCGCCACCGGTCCCTCCGACCACCACCAGCAGGCAACGTGGGTTAAGTGTCTTGCCCAAGGACACAATGACAGCGACAGACTGAGCGGGACTTGAACCTGCAACCTTCCGATTATGGGGCGAGCACTTAACTCCTGTGCCACCTCGCCCCCCAAAGACAATACACAACATAAAAATGCATAAAAACTAAAGCTTAAGCTTAGCTAGGGGACTGTTCTGTTCTGGACCTGCTGGACCTGACTGCAGCCTTTGACACTGCTGACAATCACTTGCTACTGGAGAGGCTGAGAGACTGGGTAGGCCTATCAGGATCTCCTCTGGAGTGGTTGCCCTTTTACCTGTTTGAGCATTCCTTCTCTGTGGCTGTCTCCAAGATTCGGTTCTCCACTGTATCCCTCCCTCATGGTGTTCCACAAGGCTCTGCACTGGGGCCTCTGCTCTTCCTCCTGTATTTGCTTCCTCTTCAGCACATCCTGAGCTCCTTCAAAGGAATCTCATACCATCTTTATGCAGATGACATCCAACTGTACATCTCCTTTAAGCCCCATGAGATGTCTAAGCTGCAGCTGTTACACACCTGCTTAGACTATTAAAACTTGGATGGCTGGGGGCTTTCTACAGCTGAGTGAAGATAAGACTAAAGCCTGGTTTATGCTTCTCCGTCAGCTCCGCAAGGGACAGACACGCACGGATTGACGGAAGCGTTTTGCTCTCATAATTCTCCGTCTCCTGGAGAGTGTTGCAAAGCAATTCCCCGGCAGGAAAACAGAGGGCGTAGCGTTGTTCTGTGGTATCTGTCGTATATCGGTCCAAGATCGTGTGTTTTTTATTGAGTTTTTTGTGTATATAAGAGACTTTTAACACGGACATATTTGTCTCTCATTCTCCCACCGCTTCATGCGCTCCCCACCTCTAAACCCATGTTTCCTGTCATTTCCGTCCACAAATAAAACGCTTGCTGCGCATCTTTTCACTCCTTCAGTCACGGGAGGATGAAACGTTCATATTTTTAGAGTTTTTTCGCGAGGAATTTTTCAAGCTTCTCCGTGTCTGCCGCTAGTTATCCTCGGCTCTCTTTGCAATGGCGGCGCTGTAAACAACAGCGGCGTCCCGACCAATCACGAGCTTGCGTAATCCGTCTCGTTCGACGGATGTTTAAAAAAGTGGGCTCGACTCCGTACGTACTTGCGTGCCCTACGCAAGGACGGATAATGGCGTTGTGTGTCTCCGCACTGACGCAGACGGAGAAGCATAAATCAGGCTTAAGATCCACATCTGTGTCCCAGACAAGCTGGTTTCAAAAATCAGAGACTCTCTCAGTTAGCTTTCTTCTCACACCAAACCCTCTGCCAGGAATCTTGGTGTGACCTTTGACCCAGCTCTCACCCTGGATTCTCATGTCAGTTCTCTTGTTCACTCTTCTTTCACTCAAATCACCCTGTTTCTCCTACAGCTTCACTGACTGTCAGTCAACTTCAGGGTTCATTTAAAGATCCTGGTTCTGGGGTCTCATTTTTCAAACACTGCGTAGAATCCTTACTAAAACCGTACTTAAGCTCAGCAAATTTTTTTTACTTACGCCAAGTAGGTTTATGATCTATCAAACATGGAGTACGCACAGCTGCACGCAATCTCCGCTTCATAAATCGGAGACTAATGAGAATGTTTCTCAGCTGCATTTTAGTCACATCCCGCCCTCACCACGCTCACTTACTGCCATAAATGGTCAATGCAAAGTGCCTTTTGGATCTCATGCATATACATAAGCCGGCTGTTGCAGCGCTCCGCCAATGACGATGGCGACCGTAGATCAAGGCCGATCAAGGAAGCGCAATTTCACATAAGTAGAAATTGAGGTATAATTGTGGGTGAGGTAGAGAAATGAAAGGAAGTGCTTTTGCAAAACAAATAAAGAAAATCCACGGAGTGGCACAGTGTTGCTGAAGCTGTCAATGTTGTGAGTTCTTCAGAGAGATCTGTGGTGGATATAGAAAATGGTCCAATTGGGACTCGATCCCCAGACTCCCAAGTGAAAGTCACGCATGCTAACCAGTCACCCAAACCGAGATCTCCCTTGAATAAGTAGCCAGGGCGGATAATTAATCGGGTCACAGTGACAGGACACACACTGTCACAGACGCATGACATTCTGTCTCAATCTGTCCCCCTGCTGATATTCTGCATTCCGTATTCTGCGCTTCAGGCTGTGTGCGTGTGAGGTGCACGCATGTGTGAGGTGCGCGCATGTGTGTGTGTGCGCGCATGTGTGTGCATGTGGGGGGTCTTGTTCTGTGTGCGCACGAAGCAGTACAAGTGATAATGCTGCAGGATTTCATAATTTTATCCTTCTCAGCAGCGGCACTGCAGGTGCTCTCCATGTCCAAAATGTGTGTAAGCCAGGTCCTTAGTCAACTTAAAGTTATGCACATTTTTACGCTAAGTTTTCTTTCATAAATCCCAAAGTTTGCGTGGAAAGTTGCTTACGCAGTTTTCCGACCCCGTTTTGTGCGTAAGCAAGCTTGATAAATGAGGCCCCTGGTCTTTAGAACCTCACATGGACAAGCACCATCTTACATTGGTGATCTTCTCAGTCCCTACACCCCCAGCAGGTCCCTGAGGTCCAGTGACCAAAGCCTGCTGGTTGTGCAGCGCACCAGGCTAAAGACCAAAGGTGACAGATCATTTGCTGCTGTGGCCCTCAGACTTTGGAACTCTCCCCCTGAGCCTGAGATCAGTGGACTCAGTGGTCTCCTTTAAAAAGCAGCTGAAAACTCACCTGTTCAGGCTAGCTTTTCTGTGACCTTTGGTTCATTCTTTCTAACTAACTTCTCCTCATGCTGCTATTTCTACCAATTATGTCTTCCCTCACATTTCTTAATCTACAATTTTCCTATTTTCCAATTTTTATTACAATCTTTTTTCAAATAATTTTTTATTTTATATTTAGTTCTTGTGAAGTGCCTCTTGATTTCTATCTTGAGAAGCGCTATATGAAAATAATTTCTTCTTCTCTGTATAAAGTACTAGAACCCTCCAAGATGCTCAACAGGATAACAGTCATTCACCCATGCACACACACATTTACACACTGATAGTAATAAGCTACATTGTAGCCAAAGCATTCCTGGGGAACACTGACAAGCGAGGCTTCCATGCAACCAGAGTCCACAGTATCTGCAACCACCTCTAGCGGGCAAGGAAAGTAAAGTGGCTTGCCCAAGGATACGTTGACTGAGATTGTCTGAGAGGGTAACAAACCTGCAACCTTCCAGTTGTGGGCATTTAACTCCCATGCCATTGTCGTGAGAAAGTTGTAAAACCATGTCGCTAAAGTCAATATATGCTGTTAGACTGTCAATGAAGGCTAGTCTCATTTCTGCTGATCCATCCCACCCAGGTCACAAACTCTTTGTACCGCTGCTGTCCAGAAAAACGGTACAGGAACATCAAGACCACAACCTCCAGGCAGAAAGATAGCTTCTTCTCCAGAGGTGTGAAAGCCTTTTTTCCACCTTCCCTCCCCTCTGCTGCCCCCATGTGCTGATGCACACGTGGTTCCAGAGCTGGAAGTTGTTGAACCCTGAGCTAGAGGGTGACTGATAAGTGAACAGGAAATTTTTCTTATTAAATATATTCCCAAGCCTCCCTTTATCCTTTTCCATTGTGTCTGAAGTTCCTTTTCAGATAAACAGTGGAATATAATCTCTCCGGTAAATCTTGGGTGAGTATAGAGGGCTTTTTCCTGATGGGACATGTCTGAAACACCTCCCTTGGAAATCAACCAGAAGCCCAAGAGTTCCCTATGAAAATCCACAAAGGCACACACTCGAAGGATGGCCCCACTCACTTAGCAATCTTTCTGGTTCAATTGCAAAATTGCAAACCAGACACTGAAAAACTACAAGTCAAAGATGGTCTCCAGAAGGTTTTACCGTTTGTTTGTGAGTTGAACAAATCCAGTTCTGGTATTAGTGCCCACTCAACAAAAATAATCTCAATGTGCTGTTCATAACATGTAATTCTGGACCCCCACTGAGTACAATTCATTTTATCACTAAAACAGCTCTAAAGAGGGAAAAATGAAGGAGATCCCATTCTACAACCTGTTGATTGCCTGGCAGGTTACCTGGGTTGTGCATCCCTTCTTCTCATACCATCTACACCAGTCAGACTGGTCACTGTTGACATTCAGAGGAACTCCTCCTATGTTTTTCTCATTCTTGGAACCACGAATGCTCCTTTGTTCACATCCTTGTATTTTTTTCACTGCATGACTAAGTGCACTTTGCACCTAGCTTGTATAACTGGAGAAGGAAGTAACTAACCACTTAGGTGCAGCAGTTGTAGAGATGAGTCATGTTTACATGTCAAGCAGTCAAGAAAGTCATGACAAAATATTTTTTCATGACAAATGCTTCTGCTTTTTTGTGTGTGTTTTTTTAATACCTCAATTGACATTCCATGTCCCCCGTGGTCAGCTAAACAGAACAATCTGGTCAGATTTGTGAAATAAACAACAAATATTTAGTTTCTCAAAGTTTCTCAGCCACAGGGCTTCAGTGGGGAAATCCCTTTGACCCTGACTGTTGCTCAGTCCAGTGAATGTTCAACAACTTTGTTTTTCCTTTCATGAAACATAACTCACGTTTGTCAGCTCAAGACGGAGATACTCTCCTTATCAGACGATTAATGGACTGTTTTATGATCGCACCATTTGACTCACTGGTTTCTATTTTGGTGACTGTTTTATTTAACTTTTTGCAGAATCAATCCACGGCGTGTCGTTTTGCACAGTCAGTGCTGGAATGATGACAGACTGCCAAAGCGTAGTATTCACAAAAGCATCGAGGAAAAAACTGTCCAGATTTCCGGTAATGTTGCCCAACAATAATACACTATGACTATTAATATAGAACAGCAGCTTGTTTCACTCTGGAAATGTCATCATTCACATTTTATTTGCAACATTGTGATATTTAACTTTGAATTGCCTCCAGTTGTGGTTAGTAACTGTTGATGAACTGTGACAAACATGTCATAACAAGAATTAGTTGGTTTTATTTTTTATTTTTTTTTACCTGTCTGTTCTGTTTCCTCTAGGTGACAGTTGAGAATGATTGCACTGAAGTCTCTCCAAACCAACAACTGCAAGTAACGGTGAAAACTATACCAGATTACTGCAACATAAGCTGGACGACCACCTATCTAACTCCTGGTATGGGCTTTTCATACATGCTTTTTCACATAATTCCAGTTGCAAAAGAAGAAGATAAACACAAAAACATGCATCATGATTCCAAGGTGTTAAAGTAAAGGTAAAGGAAACCCACTAGCATGAAATAACCATAACATCATTTGCATGATACATGCATAATTGGTCTCCCAACAGCCTGAGATAAGAATGCAAAAAAGCTGGGAATGTCCCAAGTCTGTTTGCGATGTCATCCTGTGGATTGTAGGATTGGATTGTCTGCAGAAATTTTTTGGTTGATTGCAAGTGGAAATAAAAATACACATGCCCTCTTTTTAAGCCACTAAATGTTTGGCTTCCCTTTGTAGAATGCAACAGTGAAGATCTTAGAATGAATGTCCCAGAATGCATCAGTAAGTATACCTGTATGTTTGTTAATTAAGTCAAATGTCTGTGACTGCTGAATAAAATGTTTATTTTGTCTTTTGAGGACTACTGGGGTACCAAGACGATTTGATATAGAAAAGAGGAGAGTGATTGGATTAGTAAATCTGATTCATATTTGTTTCATCACCTAGATCTGTTTTAGATTTGACAGGTTAGAATAATTATTTAGTCCCACATGACATGCGATGGAACAGCAGTTTACTGGAAACGATGACAAAGAGGAAAAAGGCTAATGAAAACAAAGGTAAACACATTTACAGGAATCATAGCTGATGCAGTGTGACATAACTAAGTAGCAAGCACCCTTAAATGGTTAGCCTGAAAGCAAAACTAATACAACAAATGAGGGAAGAAGTCTGAGAAAGGCAATAAAACAGACACACTCCAGTTCATCTTTGTTGTAGCGAGGCAAATCATTTATAGGGTCAAAGGTGAAGAAAACAAAATTGAAAAAAGTTTGTGTGAGCTCTGTTTGTATTTGAATGTGTGTGTGTGTGTGTGTGTGTGTGTGTGTGTGTGTGTGCAAGTGTGAGCTCTGCTTTCCCTGCTAGTGTGAGCTCTGTTTGCTCTGTGTGCTACAGTCAATGCATTTACATGCACATCAGAAATTTGACGTATTGCCCTGAAAAGACACGTTGTTTTCTTCAACTGCGTTAGTTATCTCTATATGCTAGTGTGAGCTCTGTTTACTGTGTGTTTATGTGAGCTACTACGGTACTGTTTGCTCTAATGACATTTTCACACATGGCCCAGTCCCGTCCAGCCTTGTTTGGGTCAGCCCACCCCACTGCTGCCAGGTTTTGTTCACACCATGATGTCTGTGGTTCACATGGCCTTCTCAGAAACAAGGATGTCTCAGAACATGTTGGCAGGGCATGTTTCTAAATATTCTCCTCAAATTAGTAAATGATGAGCATGAGCAGTGCTGCTTTTGGATACACTGAAGCACACTGCTTCCTACTCTCTTACTGAGACTGTCCTCCCGCTGTAGCGGTGGTTCCAAGCTGCAGTCAGAATATGTTTACCACACTGCATCACAACTGATAATGCGTTGCACATTCGGGAAGCTGCTGCTGCTGATTCCACTTGCCAAACAGAAGCTCCCTCTAGTAGGTAAGCGCAAACTTCAGCTGGTACAGTCAGTCGGTAGTGGGTGTGTTAGGTTTGCTCTGCACGAAGCTGATCGCTGGGGAGCAGGTCCAAAAATTCCAGCTGGCTGAGCATGGAAATCGTACAGATTACCCAGATGTGAACACCATTAACCTGCCAGGGCTAGGCCGGGCTGACTCAGATGTGAAAGCCTTAAAAATCACCATGGCTGGTCAAAGTTGTTCCACCGTGTAACACACACCACTATTGAAGCCTCTGGATTAGAATCAGATCTTAACCCATTCCAACCTTGGCTGTAATAAAGAGGACTTTACTTTTATCATTAAAAACTCGGTTGCTCTGCAGATTTGAATAAATTGTTGCATCTTGTAAATTCTCATACTTAGCTCGTCCTTCTTTGAACTACATTCAATATATTTCCCAGAATCTGTATTCCAATGGATGGCTGCTATTCTGTTTCTTTCAGCGGGTAGGCTATCATATGTTGAGAACCCAGAGAAGAAAGAATTGGAAATCCATGTGTCAGACATGCTTGAAGGCCACGACTACCATCTCCGGCTGTGCCACAAGGATTTCATCTGCCTTGGAACAGGGGCCAAAACTCTGGTTAGACAGTTTATTTTTAAAAAATTCAGACATTTACAATAAAAATATTGAACCTAAAACCCACATATAGAAAAAGGAAATAGCATTTAGCAAGATCTTACTTTATTATATAATAAATTGATTGTAGATTCTTGTAAGGTTCATATATTTATCATATTGTATTTTTACTGCAGCTGTTGGCTAAGTTCACTCTGCCCTACCACACCTTCCTGAAAATCGTGTTTTGTTATTTCATGAGCCTCTTTAATTTTAGAACTCCCTTCACATGCCTCATGCATGACTGGTGCTAAATTAGTTTTAGTATTCATATTTTACTCATTAGATGACACACACACAGTGAAAGCAAAGGTGTGGAAACTTTGCCCAAAGATTCAGTTTAAAAACTTAAAATCTTACTTTAGATTTACTGTTTGCTTAACCAGAAATTGTGAAATTAAATCTTGAAAGTGAAAGATGCTCAAATATTTGTTTCAGATGCATAAAGAGAAATCCAATAAGAGCGCCATCCTTCAGTACTCCCGACCTTTACCATGCCTTTGTATCGAGGTAAAGTTTGAATCAGCAGTTCTGACACATGATCTGTCCATTAGTAATCAGTTCCACGTAAACATTTGATGTTCATGAGGAAATTCTTTTTAGGGTTGGTCGGCTGTGATGGATGCGCCTAGAGTCCAAGTCTGCCCTTTTAAAGATCGTGAGTAAAGAGTACAATTATGTATCGTCTCAGTCTGTGCACTCAAAACTGATAACTTATCACAAGGCTGTGGCTTTATCTCCATGTAGGTCTGGAGGAATTGTGGTTCAAAATAACGTTTGATTCAGCCGAAGAGGCTTTAACATGGAAGCCTGCTTGTCCGATTTCTGCTGTGGCTGGATTATGTGAGAAAAGAGAAGATGGGAATTGCATGGACCTGCCTGATTCATTGCAGAATGTCAGCAGAGAAAGGGTTAGGGTGCTTTTAAATAATAAAAGAAACAAACTGTGGTGCCACCACCACAAAGAACAGAAAAAAAATGTGAAAGCGACAAAGGGCTCCTAGAACGTGTCTCTTGTAATTTACCTGAGTCATGACACCTTGCTGTCAGTGGAATAAGTGTAGCAATGCAGTAGGGAAATATTTTGTGCGTCACTTGTGTAAATATGGCTTATGGTGTCAGTGATACACAATGCAACGTCAATAACTTCCTGCTTGAAGCACTTATCATTTCATTCGAATGATGTCAGAAGTGTTTTGTGAACTGTGACTTTGCAAACATGAGGCCTCTATCTGCTTTATTCTAAACCCAGACTTACAGCTGATGGCAAAAAGAAAGTTAAAAAAAATATTTCCTTGAAACCTTGGGCTGAAACTTGAGAAGGGATATCCGTATTGATTTATGTAAAACGTCCTTTTTCTGTTTTGTTTAGTTGACGTTTGCTAAAGTGGATCCACACCCTGACCTTTGCATGAAGGTATGGTTGATTTCTCTCTTTCAGGAACTAAACTTGACTGAAATAAATTATGTAATTGCTGGACAAGTGCCAGCCTTCTTAAAACCATTTAAATGGTATAACAAACATTTATTCCACATTATCACATCCAACAAACTGTGCCCATTCACAAAATACTTTATGTTCTTTTTTCACCAAGCCTGTAAAACAAAACTGGGCCAAGTCAATGAGCTTTGTTTTATGAAGAAGTTAGTACTTTTAATATCAGTGTGATTTTCAGTTCCCCAGATGAGAGTCACATAAGAAAAATGGCACCAATTTAGCTCGTAAAAAGCCAACAGCAAGCTTAGCTTAGCATGCTAGGAAATGTCTTTGTGGGCAAAGGATTACAAAAGCTGCCCTGACATTTCAACTGCGCACTAATAAACATGTTACATCATTAAACAACAACGAATAAGTGATTAACTAGAACAAGAATACATCATCGTTTATCCTCAAGTTTCTGCTAATTTCCACGCTAGCTTTGGATTTGCAGGTGGAGGGATTATGCAACTTTTAAGCGAATCCAAAGAGGAATGGAAATACTTGTAAGTCAGGTTGTGGAACTCCTCTCCAGAAAACAGTGAACTACTGTTCTCTGGCAGGGGCAACTTTTAAGTAGAAACAGTGAAAGATGGTGGACATGCTTTAGTCATTAGCTTTTATGTGATGGCGTTTACGTGACCATGAGGCTATGGTGGAGGGTAAAGTTTCCAATCTACCATTATCGCACCTCCTTTCTTTGCTTTGATCTATGGCCAGTAGATGCAGGCATCGGAGCTCTAATTGGAATGTCCCAATAGCTGTTTTCCCTGATATATATGAATCTGATTAAAAAAAAAGTCGCAGTATGTTTACACCCCCCCCCCCCGCATTTGGCATATTAAAGGTGTGGTTAACTGAAAACCCATTTCTTAATGATTTTTTCTGATTATAATCAGTCACTCTGAGTTTTTCATGCAGGCTGAACATGAAAATAGTCTCCTATATCTATCTTCTGCAATAGCTTCTGACATTAAATAGATGGTGAAACGCTAGGTTTTGAAAATTCTCACATATCTACGTCACACTGTCACGTAATTGTTCATGGACTCGCCCAACTTGACTCCCGAAGGGGAAGGCTGTTGTTATTTTAGCGTCCAGGAAACAGCAGAGAACATCCCAACTAGTAGAAGCTAACCGTTAGCATTAGTAACTCTACCACACACACACACACACACAAAAACTCCTCCAGGCTTGTGTTATTTGCGGAGATTAAACATCCACGTGTGCAAGTCATTGGTAGAGTCAATTTGCTGTTATCCAATCTGGGGCGATATATCCAAATATCAGGGAGTAAGACAAAAAAACCTGCCATCTGAACCTCAGCTGTGATGTGAGCAACTTTCAGTTTCAAGAATTGGTGCACTGGTATTTCTTTTCCCACCCGAGAACTACTCACAAGGCATTCATTCCAACTGAATCCATCCATTCATCCATCCATTCTCTTCCGCTTATCTGGAGTTGTGTCACCGGGGCAACAGCCTAAGCCCCAGACTTCCCTCTCCCCAGCCACTTGGGCCAGCTCTTCTGGGGCAACTCCAAGGCAGTCCTTGGCCAGGCGAAAGACGTAGTGCCTCCAGCGTGTCCTGACTCTCCCTTTAGGTCTCCTCCCTGTTGGACATGCCCGGAAAACCTCACCAGTGAAGCGTCCAGGAGGCATCCTAATCAGATGCCCTAGCCACCTCAACTGGCTTCTCTCAATGTGGAGGAGCAGTGGATCTACTCAGAGCCCCTCCTGGATGATTGAGCTTCTCACCCTATCTCTAAGGGAGAGCCCAGCCACCCACGAAATGTTTGGAAGTTCTGTCAGAGGTGGGAATAGAAGCTCCTTCTGACAGGAGACTCTGCCAGGCGCTCCCAGCAGACCCTCACAATGCATTTGGACCTGCCAGGTCTGACCAGAATCCTCCCCCACCATCGGAGCCAACTCACTATCAGGTAGTGGTTAGTTGAAAACTCTGCCCCTCTCTTCACTCGAGTGTCCAAAACATGCAGCCGCAGATCAGACGAACGACAAAGTTGATCATCAAAGCTAAGGTGCCTTTAAGCTTGAACAGGTCCAATAACAAAACACTGCTCAAATTCAGATCAGGGAGCCATTCCTCCCAACCACAAGTCTCTAGGTCTCACTGTTGTTGCCCACATGAGCGTTAAAGTTCCCCAGCAGAACTAAGAAGTCACCAGAAAGAGCCCTCTGGAGCACCCTTCCAACTTCTCTCCAAAAAGGGTGGGTAGTCTGAACTGTAGTTCGGTGCATTAGCACACTTCTAGGAAGAGGGAGGCTACCCTCTTGTTCACTGGGGGAAAACCACAAATTAAACTAGTATGCCCACCAAGAGCCAGCTTCTGTAGCCGAGGATAAGACCGCCAAGGTCCTCGCCCTCGACTAACACCCGTCACACACTGCACCAGACTCTTTTGGCCCATCCCACGAGGGGTGAGCCCATGGGAAGAGGAACCCACGTTTCCTCTTTGGGCTGTGCCCGACTGGGCTCCATGGGTAAAAGCCTGGCCACCAGGCACTTGACAATGTGCCCCACCTCCAGGCCTTGTTTCAGAGGGGGGCCCCGGTGACCCGCGTCTGGGCGTGGGAACACTATTTCCATGTATATTATTCTTCATAAGGGGTCTTTGGGCTGCTCTTTGTCTGACCCCCACCTAGGACCTGTCTGCCATGGGTGACCCTACCAGAGGTATAAAGCCTCAGACAACTTAGCTCCTAGGATCATTGGGACACTCAAACCCCACCACCATGGTAAGGTGACAGCCCGGGGAGGGACCAACTAGAGACCACTGCTAATGTATTAAATAAATCTCCATGATTGATGTCAAGTTGTTGTTATTGTTGTTGTTAGCCTCAAGGGCAACATGCCGATTATCACTTGTAAGTCGCTTTGGACAAAAGCGTCGGCTAAATACATAAACATAAATACATAAACATAAATAAAATGAGTTGACCAAATCTTTAAGTGACTCACCAAACAGTTAATAAAATGATGGTTACTGAACAACAGGAAGCTGCACTGAAATCTGCCCTCAGTTCTCTGGAAACCGAACCACAAACAGAAGTATCTTTAGCACCAGAGCGGTTCTGTTCCATGGACCAGTTTTGTAGGAAACATTATTATGCTGCTGCATTAAAAAAACAGTTGACAATATGTAATTAATATTTAATATTTTCTCAGTTTTCTGTAGGATCCCAGTCCTGGATCCGATGTCCGTTTGCTGGAACAATCAAAGGTGAGACTTTTCCCTCATACGTTCATGCTGATAAACATTGTCTTTTTGCCGCCTCCAGACACAGTGGATTATATCATGAAGATAAGAGACATTTATGCAGCTGTTTATAATAAACCTGTGATGTTTTCCAGCCTGGGAGGTGGTCGTGACAAGAGAACAAGGACAAGAAGACCTGCAACTGCAGTCGATGGTAACTGCAACGTTTTCTGTGGGGCTTTGCACGAAATCTGGAGGCTCTTCAAAGTGCCAGACCACCAAAACAAAAACTGTGCATGTGGTAGGTATACAATAATGGAGTTTTCTCCTGCATAATCAAGAAATTATTTCATGAATATTGTGAATTTGAGTTAGACTATTATCTAAATAAAAAGCTTGCAGGTCTATAATGACCTCCCTGCCCTTTTGTGTGCGCCGATCAACTCAGTCAACTTCCTGCAATCGTTTTGCACTAGTTGCTTGGAAACCGCTCATTTTCTCAGCAACGTGACAATGTTTTCAGCCAAATAACATCAATAAACATTTAGCATGCTAGTATTTATATCTGTTAACAGGTTGTCTAAGAAAGCTTGCTTTTACAGAATCTGAGGAACGATGATTAAATGGCCAATCTTTCTCTTTATTCCACAGGAGGAACAGAAAGCTGTTAATTTAGAGCTGACAGGGCTACAATGCAGCTCTTGTGTGCAAGTATGTGTGGCTTTATCAGGGTTGTTTTCCCCAATCATTTTCTCTTATGCATTTATCCAGTTTCTGACTTTGAATGCTCTTGTCGTGTTTGTGCAGGTGAAGAGGCTTGACGTGAAGTTCTCTCCCACGGCCGTTTATTGTTTCGAGCAGTGCCGTAAGTGTGGCTTTTGTTACTGCCAGTTACTGGGAACCTTTTAAGTTCCTGTGCAGCCTAACTTTATTTTTGTATGTCCCGTAATGTTCATAATGTTGTAAACCTGAGGCAATGCACCAGATGGAAATACTCCAAAATAGCTTCCTTTGCTCATGTTGTCTGGAAAATTACAAATGCGTGTGATTCTAAAGCTCTGCGTGCACTGTTTCAGTGCATTTAGATGGCAAAAAAAAGCAAGATGTGTTTCCCCTGCAGGTATAAAATGAGTAATTATGTTTGAACTATCTGTAAAAATAAGAATGTAGAAGAGACATTGTCTTCATTCACATCTCTAATGATGATCGATCATGAGCATTAGAGAGATTCTAACAACACTAGTACAATAACAACTCAAAACAAAAATCTTTTTTTCATAAATGAGGCATTAAAGCATATTTCAAGATCGCTTAATTCATTCAGTTTCTTCACAGTGTCCAAATCCTCTCACCCAGAAGCTTTGAACTTGACCTGGGTCATTCTGGTGACTGCTGCTTGCCTCTCTGGCCTCATAATTGTCGCTCTGGTGCTCCACATTCTGCAGACAGGTACTTACCACAACTGTCATTAAAAACAAGCTTTTATTTTTGAAAATGATCAGCAACTCTGAATTTAAAATGTAGGCTGAACGTGAAAATAGTCTTCTACCTATTTCCTGCATTAGCTTCTGATAGAAAATAGATGGAGATATGCATAGTTTAGAAAGCCTGACAAGTCTACGACACGCTACATAACATTCATGGATTCATCCGTCTTGGCTAGCAATGAGGTAGGCTGTTGTTGATTTAGGGTGTAGGAGAGATCAGAGAATGTCTCGATTATTAGAAGCTAACATTTGTAACTCCACCACACAGCAGAACTCCTCCAGGCTTGTGTTATTTATAAAGATTCAACATCAACGTTGAAAAGCAAACAGAATCAGTGGTAGAGTCACGTTCAAATATCAGGAAATAAGACTCCAAATCTTTCTCCTTCCAGCTGACTTCTATGTCTTCAAACTGGAGCGCCGGAGCTTCCCCCCTCCCCCCCCTCCCTAGAAATAGACATTAATTTCTACTAGAGACCACCGCAAATGTATTACAAATATTCGTAAAGTTTATCTCTAACTTAAAGTTCTGTGTTTACAGTGTAGTACAAGGTCTGCTCAGTTCCAGGATCTACACTGTAAACCAACAACTTTGTTCCTGATGACCTGACAGAGTGTGTGCTATGACGTATTTTCTAACGGATAAAATATTTTGCTATTCAGGTCATGTTTGAGTGAAAAAAATACATCCGATCACTGCCTGCTTCCTCATCTGTTTTATCCCTGTTCTATTTTAGTGCATCAGAGACGGAAACAAAGCACAAGAGATGCCTGTGGCTTGACTAAGCAAACAGGTAGGGCTAACAGCTGATTGTGTGTTCTAAAACTAAAATTAAAATTTGAAACTCAAATGTGTTTCCCCCTCTCTACTGCAGATCCTTCTTCGGATTCTGTGGTCTCTACATTTCAACCTAAAGCAGGGAGAGTCCTTGTGCCCGATTCACCGCTGTGTGGGAAAAACGAAAAGGCCAACCTGATCTCATAACGGATTCCAAAATGGTGTTCTGGTCCAAAACATTACTTGCATTGTTGCAGTATAAAATTGTTACAAGAAAGCACAGTTCTCTTTTGTATTCTTAATGTGTTTGACAGATGTTTCAACTGTTGTGTTGTTCACAGTAGATGTGCTGGTTGGTAAGCTTGTTATAGATAATGGCTGCTTTTTAAAAATACAAATACATGTAAGTGCACACACACACACACACACACACACACACACACACACACACACACACACACACACACACACACACACACACACACACACACACACACACACACACACACACACACACACACACACACACACACAGTTTGTGCTGCGCCTTTTTTGGGAAGGTTAATGTCAAAGTTTATTTTAAGTGTAATGTTCATTTATGCTGTTTGAATACTTTTGTCTTTATTTAAATGTGTATTTTCAATAAATTAATACATTCTGAACAGTCAGTTCTTAGTTTTAAATAATTTTTAAAAACAAAGTATTTATTTTAATTAAACTAAACCATGCTTTCTGTTTTGAGGAATAAATTGGTTTTAAGGAGGAACTTGTTGAAAATATTATGAAAAGTAAGAATTTACTCAATTGTTGTACAATAGTCCACCTCTAAAAAATATTGGTGATCTAAAAAGGAGATGTGTGGACTCGAGTCACATGACTTGGACTTGAGTCAGACTTGAGTCATTGCTTTAATGACTTCTGACTTGACTTGATAAAATCTACTTGGACTTGAATGCCAATGACTTGCGACTTGAATCGACTTGCATCTGTTGACTTGATGATGACTCGAGCATATCTGATATTTTCGCACAAAAGTGGAACGACATGGACGAAAATCATAAATCAGTCTTCGTTCTGGGTTTGATCTTGTTCTGCTAAATGCAGCAGCACTTTGTTTAGAATCAAGTTCAGCTGCACTTTCTGCTTGTTTGAGCAAATAAATGAAGCTTTAAGAAGCTTTATTTCTGGAATTTATTTATTATCATCGTCATTAAATTGAAGTTGGACAGATGACTTGATTGTAACTTGAAAATTCAACGTTAAGGACTTGGACTTGACTTGGACTTCCACATCATTGACTTTGGACTCGACTTGGACTTGGTAGTCTTTGACTTAGACTTGACTGGAAAGACTTGTGACTTGCAAAAGAGTGGCTTGGTCACACCTCTGCTAAAAAGCTTACTGAACTGGTATGGATCCAGCTGTCAGTGTACATGTTTAGCCCATGAACTCCTCTGTGATGGGAATTTAACTTTTGGTCAGTAGACTTTATATCTTATCACTCTTCAGACAGGCTATTGGTAAATACTGGGGGATGCAAACGTTTGGGCAGCCTTGTTAATCTTCACGATTTTCCTGTATAAATCGTTGGTTGTTACAATAAAACAAAATCTGTTAAATACATCATATAGGAGACACCTGCAGTGATATTTGTGAAGTGAAACAAAGTTTATAGGGTTTACAGAAAGTGTGCAAAAATTGTTTAAACAAAATTAAACAGCAAGGAACTATCCAAGCTGCAGGTGAAATGTGAGAATCTGGAGGGTCGGTCGAGGAGATGTAAAATTCTGATTCTTGGAATTCCTGAGGGACCAGAGTCTAGTTCGTAGACCATAGATAGAACCAATAGACTGAACCCACTGAGCAGGCCAACAGATGAAGAATAGGCCACGAGCTACTGTGGCTAAGTTGAATTATTATCAAGAAGACTGCACGGAGATTCTAACCCAGTGTTTCCCAACCCTGGTCCTCAGGGAACACTGTCCTACATGTTTTCCATGTCTCTGCTTCAGCACACCCAATTTACCTTGGCTCCCAAGGAGGACATCAAGTGCTGCAGATGCCTGTTAATCACTTGACAGGTGTATGGCAGCAGGGAAACACCGGTGTTTAAAAGGGCAACGTGGAAAACATGCAGGACAGCGTGGCTTGAGGACCAGGGTAGGGAAACAAAAGGAACAATCATAAAAAGTTATCCACAGGAACACCATCAAATAAGACACAAATGATAACCAGCCAACATTAAATCCCTTAACAGAGCCCCCCAAACTGCCTGATTGTCTCTAGGTGATTATGGGACATAACCTCAGCGATCCAATGACCACATGCTGGGGGGTGAGTCCAATATAAGTCTTTTAACCAGCAAACATCAAAAGGAGACCAGACTTAGCTGGCATTTGTCCAAGGGAACATCCACGATGACGACCATTCCAAACAGAGCAGTCAAGAAGTCCCACATATCCTGAGGAGCGCATCAGAGATAAACTCCCAATATCCCTGCAGTTTCGGCCCTCCAGAACATAAGAAAAAGTGTAGCAGGTGACCATCTGCAACGCTCACAAGTTGGGTCTTGATTTTAGACATTCTGTTCTTGGACCACAGCAGATGGTGCACCACCTTGAACTGGACAACAATATGTCTCCTACTAATTGAAGATTTGTGAATGTTCTTTAGAGCAGATGTCCTCCGATAATCCAACACCCAGGTCCAGCTCCCATTTCTGTTTTAAAACATCTAAACTGTCCCGATAATGTGAGCTGAGCCTGGTGTCAATTCTCTCAGGACTATGTTGAAAGATGTCCGACAGTCCAAGATCTCATCAAGAAGAGTCCGAGGCGCGCTCTGGCGAAAACAGTGTGAGTTGTGAATATGAAACTTGACTCTCAGCTGTTCAAAAGAGACAAATGAACCACCAACATGAAAATCATACAGAATACGCATGCCTCTGGTAGCCTACCCATTAAAGGCCTCATTAGACACAGAGGGGATGAACTTGTGGCTCTTTGTCAATGACGACAGTTCAGTGAGACCTAAAGATTGTCTACACTGGTTCCAGATCTTAAATGTCTGAACAACAATCAAATTTTCTGAGTATGAAGGTATTGCGCATGGGAATGGCAGCCGAGAGCAGAGTAGCAGAACTGGCAAGAAACAATGCTCTCTCCACAGCCACCCAACTCAGCACATCAGCCCCCTCCCTCAGCCAGAACCAGGGGTGGACTGGTCCTCTGGCATTCTGGCACTGTCCCGGTGGGCCGATGCAATCCCTGCTCCTTCGGTGGAACAGAGACAACTCCGTGAGCAGCAGCACCCCCCATCGAACAACATGTACAACAATGCATCCATGTTATTAGTCCAGTAATAATATATAAAATTAGGATACGCCATGCCCACTACATTCCAAGATAATTGCACCACTTTTTAGCCGGCCCTCAGGCATCTGTTTTGCCATACAGAGCATGACAGTAAACTATACAAATTCGAAATAAAAGATTTAGAAAGAAAAATCTGGGCTTATTTTAAATTAAATGGAGGTAGTGAGCTGCCCCTCATTCATCTGCAAAGAGCAGAGGGCACTGGTGATGAATTAGCCATTGTTGTTTTCTGGAAAACGCCAAACGTCCTGCATGGTGTTGGGCAGCAAGCACAACCCCCACCTGTGGATGTCAGGGCCTCATACCACCCTCATGGAGTCTGTTTCTGACCTCTTGAGCAGACACATGCACATTCGTGGCTTGCTGGTGGTCATTTTGCTCTTGCAGCTAGGTTGTTGCCCTCTTACGTCTCCTGATGTGCTGGCTTTTCTCATGATGGCGCCTCCATGCCCTGGACGCTACGCTGACAGACACAGCAGATCTTCTTGCCACAGATCACATTGAAGTGTCATCCTGGATGAGCTGCACTATCTGAGCCCCTTGTGTGGGTTGTAGACTCCATCTCATGTTACCACTAGTGCGAAAGCACCACCAGCATTCAACAGTGACCAAAACATCATCTGGAAAGCATCAGAACTGAGATGTGGTCTGTGGTCACCACCTGCAGAACCACTCCTTTATTGGAGATGTCTTGTTAATCGCCTGTAAATTCCACCTGCTGTCTATGAAATGAAATGAAATGACCCGCACTTGTTTAGCGCCTCTCAGAGTAAGGACTCCAAAGCGCTTTACACTACAGTGTATCATTCATCCATTCACACCCACACATTCATACACTGGTGGGGATGAGCTACGATGTAGCCACAGCTGCCCTGGGGCGCACTGACAGAGGCCAGGCTGCCGAGCACAGGCACCACCGGTCCCTCCGACCACCACCAGCAGGCAAGGTGGGTTAAGTGTCTTGCCTAAGGACACAACAGCAGAATTCTCTGTCCGCAGCCGGGATCGAACCTGCAACCTTCCGATTACTAGACAACCCGCTCAACCTGTTGAGCTACTGCTGCCCAACATTTGAACAACAGCAGTGAAAAAAACAACTGTCAGTCAGTGTTGCTTCCTAAGTGGACAGTTTGATTTGACAGAAGTGTGATTGACTTGGAGTTACGTCGTGTCGTTAAAGTGTTCCCTTTATTTTTTACACTGTGTACATTTAAGCGATCTGTATCTCTCTGTCTTTTACTCTTTCCTCTTTTTTCGGCCTGAAGCTGTTTTCAACAAAAGCTCTAATAAAAGAACACTATCTGCCCACTCAACTACATGACTGGTGGACACGTAGGCTGAACTGCTTGTCTCAGATTTGATTATTTTTACTCTCGTAAAAAAAAAAAAGGGAAGTAGCCTTTAAATGTGTTATTGTTGATTTTTCTGTCCTCAATTTCAACCAAAACATGTTGTGTCTATAATAGTATCTATTGTATTTTGAGTTCCTTTTAAAATGGTTTGTCCTCATAAAGCAAGGCTTTAGAGAAGTTTACAGAAGGACAGGGATGATGAATAAAGTAGTTCACCACAACTTAAACTGACATGTAAGGACATGTAATGGAAATGACTGCAAGGCCCCGTGTAGTTTTCAATTCAACAGTCACTGAAGGCAGTTTATGACCTCAATAAATTAAAAAATAAACAAACAAAAAAATAAAAAAAATGGGAAATTGTGGATGTTGTTCCTTAGCAGTCAACAAAACCAATGTCAGTATTTGTGGAACAGATGGTAATATAATTGATCTACGAAGGCAGCAACCGTTATTTCAGTTGTTTATTTGTGTTCAGTTCACATAGAAAAGGCCACCAGTCCACCACACAGTGGTTCCAGTGTTTTTACATGCACATCGTCCACCCCAGTGCCCCCCATAGACAATGAAGGTACGCGAGATGAACCACCCTACGCAGTGTCACCCCGCTCTAATGGAAAATGGGAGGGTCACAGGCTCACTTAACAACCTCACCCCCACCCACGCCTGGATCTTTGCATAAGTTGGCAGCCTTGTTTCAGATGACAAGCGAAGACAAGTCATGCACAATAAGTGTTTGAATACAAAAAGTAGCCTGGGATATTTTAGAGCTGACTTCTAATTCATTGTTAGTATTGTTAGCTCAACGTTAGTGTTACGAACCCCAACATGTGATGTTAAAATGTGAAGGAGGGGCTAACATAAGAAATATGACAATGGATTTTAAAATCAAAACATTTAAAAACAAGCATGCAAACAAATAATAAGCATTATTAAAATAATGCCA